ACTCATTTCTTAATAGCTCTCAATTTTTTCTTCCAGCCGTACGTGAGGAGAAACTTCTGATTCTCCCAGTAGCTAATTCGAGAGCTAGCGGGTGCGGACGGTAATTTTGCGACGAAGCCGACGACGCCCCCCTCCCTCCACTCCTACCCCTTGACACGGCATCCGAGTGAGCAACCCCCGTCCGTAATCAATGGCAATGGCTGCAATTAATGATGAAAAAAGTGTGCAGAACACAATCACTACTTCCTTCTTATTATTGTCAATTAGAGAGCGCTAATCAAGGCATGGGCAGGCACACGCCGCTGCTCTCTCCAAACGAAATGTCAAACTTCATTACAGCCAAGAGCGGGGAATCAAACTCCCTGCGCTCGCAGCCTCCTCGAGCTCCGCAGGGGAGAAGTCTTCTCCGCCCCTTAACGACGGCGGATTCCAGATTAGCGCCGAACCGCTAGACTACCTCAGCTGCTGCACGCTAATCTACAGACTAACTGAAAGTAGCCTAAGTATAGATCATTACACTTTACACTTTTGTGCTAGTATGAGGATTCTATACATGAAATAAGTAAGAAACCCCTAGAAACTACATAGCTACTTGCTAGCAACCAATCAGAAAAAATGGGAAATAGGGATTATATCTATATAATAATATAAGAAAATCACCAAGCAAATAGAAACTTTCAGTGCACCCTAGCAACTGATTAGAACACCAAAGCAACTAATAATCAATTAGAACAAATGTGAAAATGAAGATTATGTGCAACAGACTAAAACAATGTCCTTGCAACCAACCAGAACATCCTAGCAACTGCAAAACAAGATGTTATGAACCAGAACAAATGCAGAAATGAGGATTCTGTGCATTCAATCATCTAGGAGAAGAACACCCTAGCAACACCCTAGTCACCACCCAAACCCCCCTAGTAACTGCATAGCAACATGCTACCAACCAAATCAGAACAAATGTGAAAATTTGCACACTGTACATTGATCAATGGAGTAATACAACTACCTAACACCCAGCCACGCCCTAGCAGCCACACAAAACATCCTAGCAACGCCCTAGCAACCACACAGAAAACCCTAGAAACGGCATAACAAAATGCTAACAGTCAATAGGAACAATTGTGTAAATGAAGATTCAATGCATACAGTGATCAACATAGTAAGAAAGCAACCACCTAGAACACCCTAGGCTAGCAACGCCCTGGCAACCACCCAGAAAACCATAACAACAGCATAGCTACATTCTAACAATAAATTTAGGAAATTAAGAATTTATGTACACAATGATCAACAGAGTAAGAAAGCAACCACCCAGAATGCCCTAGCAACACCCTGGCAACCACCCATAACATCATAGCAACGCCCTGACAACCACCAGAACATCCTAGCAACTGCAATGCATAGTAACATTCAAACAAACAATCAGAACAATTGTGGAAATGAAGATATGCACACAATGATCAACATAGTAAGAAAGCAACCACCTAGAACACCCTTGGCTAGCAACGCCCTGGCAACCACCCAGAAAACCATAACAACATCATAGCTACATTCTAACAATCAATCAGAACAATTTAGGAAATTAAGATTTTATGTACACAATGATCAACAGAGTAAGAAAGCAACCACCCAGAATGCCCTAGCAACACCCTGGCAACCACCCATAACATCATAGCAACGCCCTGACAACCACCCAGAACATCCTAGCAACTACAATGCATAGTAACATTCTAATAAACAAACAAAACAATTGTGGACATGAAGATATGCACACAATGATCAACAAAGTAAGAAAGCAACCAACCACCCAGAACACCCTAGAATGTTTTCCATGAAACCCTAGAACCCTTCCATGCCCTGGAAACCACATAAAACACCCCATTCTGAAAATGTAGATAAAACTGTACAAAACTAAGTCCACTAGCTAACCAAGACATGATTGAGATACATGGTGAGAATACACTTCCATAACATACACTCTTATGTTATGAGGGATATCTAGCATGTACGGCACAAATATACCTACAGTAAGAGAAGAGGGAAGATTTAATCAAAAGAATCAGTATTCAGAGTCTGTAGCAGTGTGTGGCTCTCCTTATCCGGCGCAGCCTTATAAATGAGAACAACACTTACATCATATGGAAATAGTTACAGGGTTGAGATGCATGTGATTGTTTGAGGATATTATCAATCTACAGATTCTCATCTCAACAGCCTTGATCTGTTGGTTGACCTTCAACCCTTGACAAGGATAATGGCATGATAGGGCATGGTTATGATCTATTCACCACCTAAACAGGCATCAAAGGTGAATTTGCGTAAAACATTCCTGATGACACGAATACTTTATTTTTTTTCCTCTGGGACACAAAAGAAGAAAAAATGCCTGTGTTTTTTTTCAACATCAGTGGAGTCTTATAATGTTGAAGACATCAGTGTATAAATAAAAACAGTTGAACCATGCTCAAATATCTTCTTTTGTGCAGTACAGTTCAAAAGTTTGGGGTCAGTAAGATTGTTTTTGATAGAAACTAATTATTTTATTGAGTAAGGATGGAGTAAATTGATCAGTAAAATACACTTATGTTTTTTTTTTTAATAATTTCAGCATTGGTAATAATAAGAAATGTTTCTTGAGCAGCAAATCTGCATATTAGAATGATTTCAGAAGGATCATGTGACACTGAAGACTGGAGTAATGATGCTGAAAATTCACAGGAATAAATTACATTTTAACACACAGTATATTAAAATAGAAAACAATTATTTTCAAATTGTAATATTTCATTTCACAATATAACTGTTTTTACATTATTTGTTATCAAATAAATGCAGCATTGGTGAGCTGTTTAAATTAACCATTTATAAAGCATGCATACAAAAAAGAGAAAATTCTATATTACCTCACTAGTCTAGTAGCGATGCTTAATATATCAGTAAAAAAAGTATGCAATAATAAAAAATAATAACAACATACAGTATGTTGATTATATATATATATATATATAAAATAGATGTAAAAATTCTGCATGCTTCTTTACATTTGATTAGATTTCATTTAGTCAAATGTGCTTTATCATAATTACAATTAATTTTTCATACTGCAAATTTTAAAATTGTGATGCCTAACTTAAAAGCATTTAAATTGATTTTTTTTAGTGTTCTTAATTTATTTCTACAAAATAGCACAGAATTAGCCATAACATTTTTGTGACATATTAAAATCAGTAAGTTTTGGTGCATCCCTACTCACTAGTGGACACGTCAGCGGTTGCACAACTTCTGTACTTCAGCATGCGCATCCATCCCTCCCTACTTCTAATCACTTCACATCAACTTGAGCATTCTAAAGAACGACGAGTTGAAATCTCAGGCACAATAAACGAGGTTTGCTCTAGGTGTGCTCTTTCCGGAGATCTTTGATATAAAACTCTATTATCTCTGTTATGACCTGTAAAGCTATAATGCTCTCAGTAAACGCAAGAACCGAGAGGCTGATGGGTAACAGGTCATAGAGAAAATGCATCCACCAAATCCTGATACAGCTAAATGTCTGAGTATGTGTGCTTGTGTGTGACAATAACTATTTTACACCAGGGCCTAATGAAGTGCTGTGCCTCACACACACACACACACGCATATGCAGCTCATTCCGTGGCTACGGCCGCTTTGAGTAATTCTGCTTTAGGATGTGGAGCTGATGGGTGTAGACGGGGGGCCGATGGCGGAGCGAGGCTGAAATTGATTGTTCGACAAGCGGAGACGAGCGGAGAAGGGCGAGTGTCGCGCAGCGTCGTGTTCTGTCTGCGACACCACGGGGCCACACGGCGGGGCCTCCAGTTTGCTCGTAAAGAGCGCTCTTTAAACTAGCGGGGCCCCTGGGACCCTAACAGAAGGAGGGGGGAGGAGAGAAAGAGAGAGAGAGGGCGAGAGACCAAAACGGAGAGGGAGAGAGAGCGAGGGCGGGGGGGGGGAGAAACAGAGCAGCCGCTAATGAGAACGACGAGTGCGCAAACATGCATGGAAATGACTGTTATTCTGTTGATGTGCATTTAAGTGCTTTTTTACTGCCAGCCGACAAAGAGAGGGAAATAACCAGTGATGAATGTTGTCCCCGTAAAGCATTCATTTTCCAACGCGGGAGGGGAAAAAAAGAAGTAGTGAAGACTGGGGGGAAAAATGTGCAGCGTTGTTACGCCCGGCAAATATATTATTTGACTTCACTCAAGTGCACTGACAGGATGAGGAGAGAGAGAGAGGAGAGAGAGAGAGGGCAAGGTGGAGAGAATATTTGGACACTGCATGGCAGGACAAGTTACGATCAAAGCCACAATTACTGAATTATCCTGATTAGCCATTGGCTTGTTAACAGCACAACCACTGATACAAGCGATAAACATATGGTAAAATCCTAATTGACTAATAACTTAGACAGATTAGAAACCTCTAGAACCTCTGTGCCAATCAAAGAGAATTTAGCAGATGAAACGGGAAGTAGGGACAGATCTGAAAGGATTATAGAAAAAGAAAAAGGGTGAGACTACAGGTTGTTGATGGGATTTTGAGATTTTTAAAAGTGGAGGCCGATGGGACTAAATGATTGGAGAAATCCTACATACGTCACCACTGAGTTCCATCATTTCTACCCAATTGCTTTTGCTAGTGCTGTAAAATCGTGATAAATACAGGATCTTCTTCAAAAAATTTAGGTTTTCAGAACCTTTTTGTCATCTTAATATTTTTGTGATGACAATGGCAGCTGATAACATGTTGATTAATTAGCCTAAATCCTAAGGTATTAGGCTGATTACATGTTAGGCATACTAAAAACATGAATAAAACGATGAGATGCGCAAGTTTTTTACTTATTTTGTACAACAAAATAAGGCCGTGAGCAGATAATCTGCTGTAAATATCATAGCAATGGAAAAAGCAACTGGAAAACTGCAGCATTTTGAAATGACAAAGGGAAGTATGGCAGAACAGGAGTGTCTGACCTGCTGTGGTGTTGATAACTGCCTCGCTCCACTGTTCTGCACTGGACACAGAGAACGAGCGCTGGTGCATCCCCTCTTTACTGGTCCCCAAAGCCACGCCGGCCACAGAGCCCCCGGACTGAAGGGAACTGCTGCTGTTCGAGTGAGGAGTGCCTGGCAAACGAGAGGAGATTCGGTTAGAGAGACATTCAAAATCACATTTCATAGTGCGGAGAACTTACTAAGCACACAGATGCAGGTGAAATCTACCCAGTGATTCCTTTACATTTCATTTAGCTGACGATTTTATCCAAAGCGACTTACAATTGCTGTAAATGTCAGAGGTCGCACGCCTCTGGAGCAACTAGGGGTTAAAGGAATAGTTCACATTGAAATTAATTTTTGGTATGTTTTAGCTTACCTCAAGGGCATCCAAGATGGAGGTGTCTTTGTTTCCGCAGTAGCTTCAATTTTGATATTTTTAGGTCAAACCGTTCTTGTCTGTCAGTCATATAATGGAGGTCTATGGTCACCACCTCAAAAAACATGCTCAAATTAAACATGATGTAATGACTTGTAAATGTAAGTAAACATTGATGGTCTAAGACACGAAACGAGCGGTTTGTGTGAGAAAACGAACAGTATTTAAATCGTTTTTACCTCTTGTAACCACAGCCACGTCCAAGTACTCTGAGAGCGAGGGCGCTTCTATCTGCGCAAGCGCGCTGGAAACCCCCGGAAGTGATCTCTCGCGCGTTTACGTCACTCATTGTTTACTTCAGAGATTTCAGAAGTGTTATCCTTCACTGTGAAGATCTAAACACATTTAGGTATACAGGAAATTGCAATGGAAGACGATTTAGATATATCAACAGACACAACCGCGCAAAAGATCACTTCCGGCGCTTGCGGAGACCAAATCGCCCACTCCCTCAGATCACTTGGATGTTGCTGCAGTTACAAGAGGTCAAAACGATATAAATACTGTTCGTTTTCTCACACAAACCGCTCGTTTCGTGTCTTAGGCCATCAGTGTGTACTTACATTTATGAGTCAGTAAATCATGTTTAATTTGGGCTTCTCTGTGCATGCTCTTTGAGGTGGTGACCATAGACCTCCATTATATGACTGACAGACACGAACGGTTTGACCTAAAAATATCAAAATTGAAAATACTGTGGAAACAAAGACACCTACATCTTGGATGCCCTTGAGGTAAGCTAAAACATACCACAAATTAATTTCAAAGTGAACTATCCCTTTAAGTGACAGCTCAGGGACACATTGGTGTCTCACAGTGGATTCGAACCTGGGTCTCTCACACCAAAGGCATGTGTCTTCTCCACAGTGCCACCACCACCATTCCTACTGTACGTGTGTTCATGCAAGCGACACAAGATCCATCCCATCTCTTCTCTGCAGCTTTTTTGGTTTTCTGGCTCATATCCCAATCAATTAAGGTTTTCCAATGTAGACAAGTACTCCTGTTACTGTTTTTAGTCAATAAAACCTCAAAAAGTCAATCAGCAAACAAATCCAAAAACAGCTATTTTGCTTTAGATGAGATGAGAAGCATAGTATCAACTTGTAGGTAGGACTAAAGAAGTTGGAGATTTTGCGTATGCATTCCCTTTATCGTCGCCGCATTCGTCTCTCCGTAATACATGAGCAGTCGACGCCTCACCCCGTCTTCCTACTCTGCTCCCTCTGCGTTTCTGCCACTAATTAGCCCTTAATTAACAAGATACACTCGGAACGGTAATTAGCTCTCCCCCACTCTCCGCCTGACACATCCATCTCTCCCGGCGGTGCTGACGGCTCTCCCTGGCTTCAATCAGCGGATGCCCCGCGTTGGGCGCCAATTCACCGGCCTGGCCGGGTCGCATGGGGTCCTCTCCTCCTGTTCTTGAAAAACAGGCTCCCGGCTTGATAGAGATGAGGGCTAATATTTAATTCTCTGCATTCGAGGCTCAAGGTCAGGTTTAGATGAATAACTATGTTTCTAGTCGTTTCTTCTTGAAGATCCAACATTGTTTGCGCTTCCGTCAATGCTAGCTCATTTTCAAATTGGTTTTATATTGCCTTTAGCCTATGTTTAAAAAAAACAGCACATTACTAAAATTACATTTTGTAATGTGCTGTTTTATGATTTTCCCCCCCGCTTCAGTTGTTCCAGAGGCTTTAAAGAAACATCAATCTGTAGATATAATCTATGCTATGAAAAAAAAAAAAAATCTGCTAACTTAAATGTGGCATCAGAACACAGGAGTTAATGTAAACCGTATCACACAAATAGAAATGAAAAGTTTTACCCACTTACACCCGTTAACTGTTTAGCACAAACCCTGCGCACTATTAACTCTAGCAAAAACTCCAAAAGCACACAGAAAACATTGATATTTTATTTACCAGGCTCTAATGCATTTCACAGTGGGACTAAACTTTTCTCTGTTGTTTTTCGCTTTATGCAATTTTGCCTTTTTCTTCGACACGTTTCCTTCGCTCCCCTCCCTCCTCGGCGCTGATTTGGAGCATGCTAATTTAGCAAGTACTCCACAGCGTGAGGTTGAAGCTCTATCGCTCTCTCCCTGCAAGAGACGCCCTTCCCCTATGGGGACCGCAAGATTAATATTCTCGCACCCAACAAGATAATTACTGATACTAATTAGACATGATTATGTGAATTTGATACACTTATTACTCTCGCTAATGGTTAGGACGCATTAGGCTAACAAGAGTCTGTTCTTCGCGGTTTACTTTAGCGCCTAGAAAAAGAAGAAAAAACGCCTTGACACAATCAGAAGTAATTCGTGAGTAATTGAAAGAATAGAGGGTTATTCTTATATTTGTCTGTTCGGAGACTTGTAATCACCACAGTATTGTTGAAGAGAAGATTTTATTAATTCTGTCATAATATTGGCCCTGACTAGATCCCTCACCAATGAATTAAGACACCGCTATTACTTGGATCAATGCTGTATGATATTGGCATCCAGCAGGAGTGGTAATTATCGTTTTAGAGCAAATTGCTTATGAACTATTGGAGTATCAGTTAGGTTCCTTTAATGCTCATGGAAACCTGTGGCAATGTACTGTACTTAAACATGATATAAGCCACTAATTGATTATTCAACAACACTGCAGACTCATTTATATTATATTAGAACTATAATATATTATAATATAACATTATATACTAAAAAAACAAAAAAAACATTATCATTGTTTATATTAAACTGTAGTACCACCATACAAATAGATGGCAACATACCTATGTTTGATTTGACTTCTAACATAAAGTGGATAACAATTAAATGGATAAAAGTTGGCATCACTGCACAAGAAAAAGTAATCTGAAGTCTATTTGCCATTTAAAAGCAATCCGGTTCCGACTGAAGGCGAACATGTCTCGAAATCGACAAAATAAAACAGTCCAATATTCTCTCGCTCCAAAACAACTCTTCAAAGACATAATGCCACGCTGTTATTTATGATTTTATTTAGCTCTCTCTGTCTTGGCTGGTGCAGAAAAAAAAAAAGACAAAACGAGCCCCTAACCATGCCTCATCTCCATCAAGAATTCAACAATCATCACTAATTGTCAAATTTGATGCTAATGATTGATGAATTAAACATGTCTCCATCAATTAGTCCCCAGAGAACAATTCTGCATAAAAAGGGGATAATGCAATTACAATGTGGAGAAAATCAGAGGAGAGTGCAGGGCAGAGACTGTACACAAGATCTCCTGCCACTTCACAGTTCGCACACGAGCCGAGAGTGACTCGATGTGCGGATGTGGAGTTAGAGGTGACCATGGGCACGTCTGGGGGGTGGGGAATTGTTTTTTAATCTCAAACACACAGTCGAGGCAAAAGTCTCTGTCACATTCGTGAAATTCTGTTTGTTTGCGCGATTGTGGCTTAATCAATGGTGTGGGTTTGGGGGAGATGGGCAGCAAGATGGAAGGGGCATCCATCCATCCATCTGTCCGTCCATCCGTCTTGTTCGTCTGTCCGTCCATCCATCCCATCCATCCGCCCATCCGTCCGTCCATCCATCCATCCGTCCGTCTATCTGTCTTGTCCATCCGTCCATCCACCCATCCATCCGTCTTGTCCATCCATCCGTCCGTCCGTCCATCCATCCATCCGTATCTGTCTTGTCCATCCATCCATCCGTCCGTCCATCCATCCATCCATCCATCCATCCGTCCATCCATCCATCCATCCATCCGTCTGTCCATCTGTCTTGTCCATCCATCCATCCATCCATCCATCCATCCGTCCGTCCATCCATCCGTCCATCCATCCGTCCATCCATCCATCCATCCATCCATCCATCCATCCGTCCATTCATCCATCCGTCCATCCATCCATCCATCCGTCCATCCATCCGTCCGTCCATCCATCCATCCATCCATCCATCCGCCCATCCGTCCGTCCATCCATCCATCCGTCCGTCTATCTGTCTTGTCCATCCGTCCATCCACCCATCCATCCGTCTTGTCCATCCATCCGTCCGTCCGTCCATCCATCCATCCGTATCTGTCTTGTCCATCCATCCATCCGTCCGTCCATCCATCCGTCCGTCCATCCGTCCGTCCATCCATCCATCCGTCCATCCATCCATCCATCCATCCATCCGTCTGTCCATCTGTCTTGTCCATCCATCCATCCATCCATCCATCCGTCCGTCCATCCGTCCGTCCATCCGTCCGTCCATCCATCCATCCATCCATCCATCCGTCCGTCCGTCCATCCGTCCGTCCATCCGTCCATCTGTCTTGTCCATCCATCCATCCATCCATCCGTCCGTCCATCCGTCCGTCCGTCCGTCCGTCCATCCATCCATCCATCCGTCCGTCCGTCCGTCCGTCCGTCCGTCCGTCCATCCATCCATCCGTCCGTCCGTCCATCCATCCGTCCTGTCCATCCATCCATCCGTCCGTCTGTCCGTCCATCCAGTTATTTTTGCAGTTCTGTTTAGTGCCACTACTGTCACAAAAACGGTACTCTACACCCTGTCCATCTGTCCGTCCGTCCGTCCATCTGTCCATCCATCCATCCATTCGTCTTGTCCATCCATCCCTCCGTCCGTCCATCCATCCGTCCGTCCATTCGTCCATCCATCCATCCATCCGTCTTGTCCATCTGTCCATCCATCGAACCGTCCATCCATCTGTCCATCCATCCATCCGTCTTGTCCATCCGTCCGTCCATCCATCTGTCCATCCATCCATCCATCCATCCAAGTTATTTTTGCAGTTCTGTTTAGTGCCACTAGTGTCACAGAAACGGTACTCTACACTTTTAAAAACAAACGTTTCACAGTCAAGAACCTTGATGATTATGTGCTTTGATTGTTCTTTTGAGCAAGTGTGCACAAATGGTCAAATCATTATCGGATCACGTCTAGAAAAAAACATCTAAATGTCCTTTGCACTTTTCTTGCCATCTGTACACACTATTAGGCTAAGTATTAGGGTCCTAGTAAAGGGAGGCCTGAGGTTGTGGTGTTAAGTAGAGGCGATGGATTAGCAGGGGGTGGTGATGATTTCTCCTCATCTCTCCTCGTTTCTCTCGCCGAGCGCTGTCAGATGGCTGATGAGCCGTGGAGCGAGCCCTGACCCTCTGAGCCACCGCTGCCATTATATACAAGTGCGGAGATAATGAAGCATCCATGCTAATGTCGACGGGAGGGCGGGGGAGGGGTCAGGGTGGAGGGGGGTTCTGTTAGATCATCTGCTGTTCAGGTCAAAGTGAAACGGCACCGCGACGCCCTTACAAACTGAGAGTGGATTTCTGCGTCTTGGAAAGGCATACAGATTACATTGTGTTCGTTTGCGTAAACTGCAATGATATCCGTGCCGACATTTGAAACGTGGCAGGTCCGACGGAAATGCTGCGACAACCAATAAACCGATATTTTAGCCACAACTTCACGCTTTCAGAACGCATGACTCAAGCTCATCGCAAGCAGAAGCGGCGTATATTCGATTTCAGGCAGCGTATTGGATAATAAGCATCTGAAACTGTTTAGAAAGACTTGCGACGTGATACAAAACATCATATTTCCTTCTCACATATAAAAGAGCATCTGAAATGATTGTGCCATTATTGAAAGAGGCTGTCATGAGACTAACGTATGTGGTAAAGTGTCATTAAAGGAGACTCAGTCGTAAAAGTGCTTGCATTTATACACAAACACATCGACATTGCTCATTTAGGATTTACTTAAGGTTAGTGGTCGACTATGGATAGCTGGATAGGAGGGTGGCCCATATACAGGGTTTCCGTTGTCCGGTAATTACCGGACATTGGGCGGGAAAAAAAATTAATTGTCTGACAAAATTAAATCTCTCCGGTCAAATTTTCTGATTAAAACTGTGTAATAATCCCGCCCCCCTAACACAATGTATAAAGCAAAAATACACAGACCTTTGGCTGTGTTATAAATAGGGTTAGGTATCGGTTGGGTTTTATCCGATACCAGTACCTACTCTGTATTTTTTAAACAGTTCCGGTGCTTAAGCGGTTCTTGAAACGGTACTTTAGAAAACGAAACCGCACACACTTTGTCAAAAAATAATACCCCTTTATTTACAGGGCCAAACTGGACACAATATTAACTTATATCTTTAAACAATATAAATACAAGTAACATATGGTAATAATAAATAAACCAATATAAAATTAAAAAAAAATCACATTTACATAATATCAAATAAAACAATATTGCATCAAACAATGTAATAATACTGGAGATTACTACCGGGGTAATCTAATATCGACATGGCTACAGGATCCCATGTTTTGTCTGCTTGAACCAGTCATGTAAGTTATCTGGCCATTGTACTAGTTACGCAGCACTTAGCTTCCTGAAATTTTGAAATGTTACAAAATATTTTTTTTAACATATTTTTAAAAAGTTTGGTATAAATTATGCATGGTAGAGTGAACACTTCTCTTTAAGTTGGCAATTGGACAGAAAAATAAACCCCAACTCTAAATAAAAAAAATCTAAATAATATTTCTATCAACTAAAAAACTTTCACTTGAAAACAGAATGCATACATTATATATTGACAAAGCTGTTAGTGGAATTAAAAACTAACATATTGCGCAAAAAAAAAAAAAAAAAAACGCTAATGCGATCAGCCAATGCGATCATCTCTAAAATAACCAACTGATTTACTGGTTTATCACAAAAATTGTCGATATATATTGTCTATCACTGCACAAGTTACGTCTTAGTTCACAAGGACAGGTTGCACAACTCTGAGAAGCTCTTCATACAAGAAAATCCATCTGCATCCTGTGTATCACATGTAAATGAACACAAGTACCATGGCGTGAATCTCTCTGTCTCACACTCTTATAAACACACCTCTAGAGCAGATGTCATTGATTAAAGCTGATGGGCAGGCCATTAGCGCTTTGATATTATATATCTGTCAGCGGTGACACAACTGAACGCACGCTTGCAGAATGATCATATTTAAAACGGTTCCAGTGAATACTTAGCAGAAAGATTAGACCGGGCCTCATCGAGACAGACTCTTTTACTTGCGGACACATGCGTTCATTCATTTGCGCTCCTTCACTCCCTCACTCACTCTTTCTTTTTCTCATCCTCACCCCCCCTCTCCTCATCTCCCCAATCCTACACACCCCCCAGAGTTCCTAATGGTCTTTAGATCAGGAGGAAGTGTATGAATTACAGACTACAGAAAAAGACAGGGCTCAGCTAGACCGCCATGAATGAAAAATTACCCCTTTGTTCCTTCGCATCAATTGCATGCCTAATGAAATCAAAATCAGATTGCATAATCAAGTGTACGTCCTCCACTCGGCGGAGGCCCACTGCGAATCGTAACCTTTTCCCTCTCGAGTGGAAATTAACACAATTTTCCTCTATTACGAAGCAGAGTGAAAAAGGGAAACGGGAAAAGCGGCCCGTGTCAAATTGGGACCCGAGCGTTTTGCCGTAAATTTGTGTTAAACCGAAGGTCAACAGGCGTATCTATAAAATAACACAGATAAAAAGCCTTATCGGACCTGTAAATGTTGTATAATACAAGTAAAAACAATAAAATATACATTCTTAAGATGTCTATAAGATCAAAACTGGTTAATAAAATGGCTTGAATAATTCAAATCAACATGAATTTCAATTTACACACATTTAACACTATAAATAAAAATGAAGATTGTATTTGGATTTTAAACATCTTGTATTTGGATTTTAAACATCAGGAATAGACTAACTCATGAAGTGGACCACCTTAATTTCATATTTACTGACAAAAATTTTAGTTCAGGAAGGTTTTTTGGGAGGAACCTATGTAACTTATTTCAAATTCTTCTGTGTTTTTAAGGGCCCGTAAATTGATAAATCAATTTTTTTTTATGTTTTGACATGTAAGAGGTCTACTTCTATATCGTAGCGTCTTTGGCCATGCCCACTGGCGTGTTATTGAGATTATTGAGAGTTAATTTTTTTATTAAAGGAGTAGTTCACTTTTAAAAAAACTTTTGCTGATAATTTACTCACCCCCATGTCACCCAAGATATGGGATTTTTCTCCATATATTGAACTTCAATGGGAACCAAACAGTTCCCAAAATGATATTATTGTATTAATAATACAAAATAAATGTATAAAAGTAAATCGAATGCACTGCAGAATCTGAACTAAGTTTTGTTGGAAATACGCAGTTACAGTAAAAATATACTACATTTAATACAATATCCAAAACATTCTCTGAAATATGCAAAATAAGTCTCTAAATCATGAATAATTCATAACACAATAACACATTTTTTTTTATAGTTTGACAGATAATTTCATAATTTTTCACACTTTCATTATAACCTAGACTATTTTCATCAACAAAACTTTTAATAACTTTAAATTATTGTTGATTATCAGTGATACATAAAATATATAAAACAGATTTGCTTATTTGAGCAACTATTCCTATAACCTAAATACAGATGCAACCAGTCTTAACTAATGCTGTAATCTGTGTGTGTTAGCTGCCTGAGGCCATGTTTGAGCTCGTTACCCAGACATCCTATTTCTGAAGCTTGAATAAAACAAGTCCAGGTGTTGTGACTATTTCAGGTCCAAATGCCCCAAAATTCTCCCTTTTCTAACCTCTGCAGTCGACTGAAGGTTAATTAGTTGCCAACCTGAACGCGATCTCAACTTTTGTGGTTTTCCGAGCAGCCCCATTCATCTGGCCCAGCAACACTGACAAATGCTCCTTACGTCTCCGAGACCAATAAACCCCGTTCCCTATCCAACACAAGCCTGGACACAAGCCAGAAAACTGCAGTTCCCAGAAGCCCTTGCTGACCTGTCTTTAATGGTGCAAAAGCAATTAGCCCAGGCTAAGTGATGCTGAGGTCCTGGCCAGTTATGTTTCCACAGCGGTCATGCCAGCTTGCAGAGCCCCTGGAGAAAGTTGCTCCTGTTTTTTTATTAATTACACTAGATCTCAGCTCCCTACATCCAATTATACCTTCACAGACTCCCAAACTCTCTCTCTCAGAGTAAACCTGGTTCTTACAAGGCACAAATAAACCGATCTGAAACCAAGCAGTATACACAAGTTTTCTGAATGGATACCAATGCTACTGTAACACACATTAGGTAGAGCTACGAGAGGTTTTTCATGAGGAATCAAGAATTTAACGCTGTTGCAATGAATAAATTCATTTATTATAAAGTATAACACTACTGATTCAGCTCACACTTACTTGTGGCGCCGATACCGAGTTGTAAAGTGCTGCGGTCTTTGGTCAGTCCGTTGGTTTTGGGGCTGGCTGTAGGGGCGACCGTGGCCACGGCTCTGGGCGGCCTCTTCCCGGGAACCTTCACCGTCGTCCGCAGCAAATCGATTTCTTTACCGTGGATGTTCTGCATGTAGTCCTGAGAAATAAAAATATGACATGATGTACTTCTAGATCTAGGCTGGGAAATTGGTCAAAAGTAAACCCACATCTGACACGTCATAAATGAGAATAAGGCTTCAAAATGCAAAATCGCAGTCCATTCGATATGCTCCCGAAATGTAACGTCTCCAGTTGCAATTAAATTCCGCTTAACGATTGTTTTCATAATGAGTAGGACCAAAACAATTTTAGTACAGTATTTCAGGCTCATTTTTGGACAAATGCAAATTAAATGAGTCAAATAAATGTCATAAAAAACATTTGGTTGTAGTATTATTTAGTTATCAACTCTAGTATTAACTTTTGGGGTGTTTAATTATTTTCTAGTATTTAAATTTAGCATGATAAGGTAGCTGCAGACGTCTTTTTCCCCTATTGTGACGTCTATCTGAGTGAAACGGCTTTTCGATCAAGAAAAAATGTAGGGTGGGGCTTGATTTTGTCCATAGGGAACTGATTGGATTGTTGTGGCTTGCTATTGGTCGATCTCAAGTGAGTGACAGGTTGCCCCGCCCTCGAGTCAGTAAGAGAAGAGATGTCGCTCCAAGAGGGTATTTTGATTAAAAGGCTCATGAAAAAAAAAGTATGTGCACAGATAAATAACTTATAGTAAAAAAACAAGAATTGCCCATTTTGATTTTATCGGCACTAATATTTTCAGCTTTTCAGTAAATTATAGTTTTTATTTTTTTATTTTCAATATTTTCTAAATAAATCAACAACTAATAAGAAGCATGACATATCGAACTGTCTGTACTTCTATTATTCACTGCCTAATTTGCATAAAAATGGATTAAATATGCCAGAAGTTTCCACAAACATACAACGAACAGATGCAGCGCTAAAGCCAACTAAGAAAAAAAAAAGAACCCAAGTAAGAAACTTTTTAGAGGTCCCGTAGCTTAAAAAACACACACAACGATGAATAAAAGGAGCCTTGGACAATCAAACCAGCACCAGACCCACGCAATCTTCTTCACCTGTTTCCACGCTGCCGCAGATTAGCAAAATTAGCATTAATGACTGCGAGCAGACTCATTCCAATTTAAATCGGGCTATTCCATTTTCATGGGAGTTTGCAAAGCGCAAATGGGCTAAGCCAAGGTGCAAATCACCCTGCTCAGCACAAAAGAGGCGAGCATGAGATTTCGGCCTCGAAAGTCTCCCGCCAACTCCTCTTCACTTTTATTGCGCCCCATAAAGCACTAATTTCTTCAAAAGCCTCAGTACTAATTACCCAGTGAGCGCTCTCATTCCATTTTATTGCTGGAATTAACAGCCAGTTTGAGGCGCAGAAAGCTATTAAGATGTGTGATTAAGCCATATTCAATTAGTTTCTACAAACAATTTAATTGATGTAGCAGACAGAATTAACAGAAGGGGATTGTGGGATAGCTCGGCTGGCTGCGGCGCAAAATTAAACCGTCTTTCCTCGCATCTCTCTCCCTGTCTTTCTCGTTGAGCTAAACGAGTGGTCCACAGGTGTCCAAACCCAAACGCCTCTAACGATTATGACGCCCATGGCATCGCGTGCCTATTACACACATCGCTGGCATGAGATGCGCATTATATCGATAATAAACACGCAGTTGATGTGAGAGACGCGAGTTTGGCCAAGATATTCATTTCGGTCATAGTCCGTGGAGACCGCTAAATGTCTCATGTAACTTGTCTTGACGGTCAAGGTACGCCGCTTCTCCAGTGGATCTTAATTAGGAAGCCCTTATTAATTACTAACCTATGTTACAAGTGTTGCAGAAGCACAAGAACAAAGATAGGCGTGACGCATGCAAATGAGGGGAACGGTGGAAAAGGGACGCGTGAGAAAGCTGGGGAGTGAGTGAGAGGGGATTTTAGGCGGTATTAAGGCCACGCGGGGGTCCTGACAGAGATAAATGTTTCGCGCGGAACGGCCTGTGCTTTTCCCGCGGTGACTGCCGTAAGGTACGAGAGCTGCTGGAGCAGTGGAAGAGAAGCTGACCTGTCCGGATCTCGTCTGTATTAGTAGAAACCTAGAAAATACCTCCAAAACACCCAAACAGTCTCTCATAGTGAATCTGAATCTAAACCGTTTCAAACGTTCATCGTTCAAATAATATTTAAAGATGTATAGAAATCATGCTAGTGTAATCGCGAAAAATCCCTTCGATACGTCGATTTCACTGTGTTTTTAACTGGAATGATTCGTGAACAACTCTCTTATTATGCAAAATTGGTTACAAGCGAAAAAAACAAAACGTTTGTAGATCACATGACCGTATCAGAGGAACATTCTCCAAACCTAAAATGAACGTTCCATTTTCTTAAAGGGACAGTTCCCCCAAAAAATGACAATTCTGTCATCACATACTCACCCCTCAAGTTGTTCCAAACCTGTATGAATTTCCGTTTTTCTGTTGAACACAAAAGAAGATATTTTGAAGAATGTCGGTTACCGAAAAGTTGATCCATTACTGTTTTGTTATGTACTTCAAAATATCTTCATTTGTGTTCTGAAGATGAACGAAGGTCTTACAGGTTTGGAACGACATGCCGTTAATGCCAGAAATGGTACTATGTCAGAAAGCCAGCTCACTATTTGGATTTGGAAACGGTTTGGAAACATGAGGGCGAGTAATTAATGACAGAATGTTCATTTTGGGTGAACTGTCCCTTCCTGGCTAACCAACAGAGAACCCTAGAATGTATATGAACAAAAATGTTCTAGGATCCAAAAAGTATTAGCTGGGTAAGCAACATCAATTTACACCAAATACCACTCAGTGAATCATTTGTTTGAATCATTTCATTGAACTGAATCACCAATTCAGCTAAATGAACTCTAACAGCAGAGGAGACGCGTACTTACATGTAAACTAGGGTGGTAGGTGAGCAGGCCGTTGTCACACAAAGTCACGTACTTCTTCTTCCACTCCTTATTAAGCGATTTCCCACTCCTTTTTAACAAAATCCCCTGTTCAACACAAAAACAATCAGTAATGAGAAGATTTCAGATCAGAAAACATTCACAAGAACAATCAGCAGGGCCATTTTAATAATACAGAAACATTCAGGTTCAGATCACTTCTGAGATGTTGAGTCACACACACACACACACACTCATTTGCATAAATACAAGGCCTATTTACAAACAGTGTAGCTTTTCACAGTCCATTTTCACATTTTAAATCACTGAATGGCTTCTTCACACCAAACATTTGCTGTTAATGTTTTGTTTTACTTAAAGTAGGTACATTTTTTACTTTTGCCCACATTTGTTTAATGCAAATTTTTGCTACTAACCTTCTCCAGTGATTTACATCAGTTTGTCATGTCGTTATTGGTGTGAACAGAACTTTCTATTGATTGATTTAGCAGATGATTTTATCCAGAATGACTTACAAGTGAGAAATAGTACAACAAAAAGAATAACTACTTATCAGCCGTAAAAAACAACATTACTCTGTTTTCTCATAACCTCTCCAAACGTCATGTTTCACACTTTCGTAATTGCCATTACAAGCTGCCTTTGATAGAACTACCAGGTTAGATGTATGTATGTATATGCATGTATGTACAAATCTTTTTTCGAGTCATTTGGTTCATTCAACAAACGAAATGAACAAATTGACTCGGAAAAAAAGATTCGTTCATTTTGATGAACGAGTTCGAACAGGAGAGTCATGAACACGCATCACAGAACAGAGTAAGATGAGCGTTTATGCTTATAAAACTTAAAACTTTATTTTAATTTTAAATGAGCGATCATTTCGCTTGATAAGACCCTTATTCGTCATCTGGAATCGTTTAAAGCCCTTTGAACAGTTTGCACTGATACTGTCTTTTGGACCTTGAACCGTTTGGTTCCCATTGAAGCCCATTATATAGAGAAAAATCTTGGAATGTTTTCATCAAAAACCTTCATTTCTTTTCGACTGAAGAAAGAATGATATGAACATCTTGGATGACATGGGGGTGAGTAAATTATCAGCAAAAGTTTTTTTTTAAAAGTGAACTACTCCTTTAAGAGAGGAACCACAGAACAGGACCACTTTTGATGGACACCCACAGAAGGAGGCCGGTTTGGGCATCGGCACCGTGTCTGTGCACATCAAAGACTGTGAGGAGCACATATCAGTGCTGTGGGGGGAGAGCAGAGGCTAAATCCAATTTGTGCACAGACTCAGTGTGTATTCTTTTGCCTGTTGCGCCGGCGAACTCTCCCAGACCTCTGCTAGCACGAGGATTAGAGCCTGTGATCCCGAGCTCTTCAAAAGCTTCCAGCCTCCGTCCCGTCCCCTGCTCAAGGCCTCACCATCAATCTCCCGCTGTTCTTTTAAGAAAACACTCACTGAGCATTTATCCCCTAAAGTCCAGCCAGGACAAACACTCCCCGGCCAGGGCTGGAAGTGCACAGAGGTGTTTAGGGGTGGGCGGCAGGGAGCACAGGGGGTTTGGGTGGCCTGTTTTGGCTTAATTAGGGGATTAGGGAAGATTCCTGTGCTCTTTACCACTTCCTGTTGGGAGAGAGAGAGTAGGAGGGCTCTGATGTGTTAACCGGCCAAGCCTGACACTGAAGGGGACTAATCCACGCGAAGAATACACTACTTGCTTAACATCAGTTGCTGACCCGGGGTCAACTGGGTATCATGGTGTTTACCCGACAATCAAGTCCTAATCCTCTCCTCGCCTTGATCTGATCCCTTCATGGATATTCTCTCCTAAATACAGCTCTATCAACTCAACCACTCAAGAAGTAGCATTTAAAAGCAGTTGACATTACTACATAATTACATTGACTACATGAATGTAATATAAAATGATATATAACAAGTCAACTTTTTATATATATATGGCCATATGTTTTTTTTTGTTTGTTTTTTGTATTTCACATTATTTTATTTTAAGCACCTGGGTAGTAGTAATAATATATATACAGTAAATCAAATTAAATTAGCAAAAGTGAAAAATAGCTCAAACAGTACTCTGCCAAATGTATAATAATAAAATAGATAAAATAAAATAAAATGTAAAAAGTCGACTTGTTATGTATCATTTTATAATACATTCATGTAGTGTCAAACAATTATCTGACAAAAGCATAAAATAAAATATAATGTGAAATAATACAAATAAATTTAATTGCAAAAAAGCAAAGAAAAATCTCAAAGAGTTGTCTGTCAAATGGATAAAATAATACAGCAAAGAAATGTGAAATAAAATAAGCAAAGAAAAATTGACTCGTTATATATAATTTTATATTACATTAATATAGCTCAAACAGTAGTCTACCAAATGCATAAAATAAATAAGAAATAAAGATAAAATTAAAGTTATATATATATATATATATATATATATACACTCACCGGCCACTTTATTAGGTACCCCATGCTAGTAACGGGTTGGACCCCCTTTTGCCTTCAGAACTGCCTTAATTCTTCGTGGCATAGATTTAACAAGGTGCTGGAAGCATTCCTCAAGGAGTTTGGTCCATATTGACATGATGGCATCACACAGTTGCCGCAGATTTGTCGGCTGCACATCCATGATGCGAATCTCCCGTTCCACCACATCCCAAAGATGCTCTATTGGATTGAGATCTGGTGACTGTGGAGGCCATTTGAGTACAGCGAACTCATTGTCATGTTCAAGAAACCAGTCTGAGATGATTCCAGCTTTATGACATGGCGCATTATCCTGCTGAAAGTAGCCATCAGAAGTTGGGTACATTGTGGTCATAAAGGGATGGACATGGTCAGCAACAATACTCAGGTAGGCTGTGGCGTTGCAACGATGCTCAATTGGTACCAAGGGGCCCAAAGAGTGCCAAGAAAATATTCCCCACACCATGACACCACCACCACCAGCCTGAACCGTTGATACAAGGCAGGATGGATCCATGCTTTCATGTTGTAGACGCCAAATTCTGACCCTACCATCCGAATGTCGCAGCAGAAATCGAGACTCATCAGACCAGGCAACGTTTTTCCAATCTTCTATTGTCCAATTTCGATGAGCTTGTGCAAATTGTAGCCTCAGTTTCCTGTTCTTAGCTGAAAGGAGTGGCACCCGGTGTGGTCTTCTGCTGCTGTAGCCCATCTGCCTCAAAGTTCGACGTACTGTGCGTTCAGAGATGCTCTTCTGCCCACCTTGGTTGTAACGGGTGGTTATTTGAGTCACTGTTCCCCTTCTATCAGCTCGAACCAGTCTGGCCATTCTCCTCTGACCTCTGGCATCAACAAGGCATTTCCGCCCACAGAACTGCCGCTCACTGGATGTTTTTTCTTTTTCGGACCATTCTCTGTAAACCCTAGAGATGGTTGTGCGTGAAAATCCCAGTAGATTAGCAGTTTCTGAAATACTCAGACCAGCCCTTCTGGCACCAACAATCATGCCACGTTCAAAGTCACTCAAATCACCTTTCTTCCCCATACTGATGCTCGGTTTGAACTGCAGGAGATTGTCTTGACCATGTCTACATGCCTAAATGCACTGAGTTGCCGCCATGTGATTGGCTGCTTAGAAATTAAGTGTTAACGAGCAGTTGGACAGGTGTACCTAATAAAGTGGCCGGTGAGTGTATATATATATATATATATATATTTATAAATTAAGTATGCAAACATAGCCATATAACTAACTTATAAATTCCTCCAGCTTTGCCTGATTGTCTAATCCTGTATGAAGACTGTAAAGGAAGCATGTGTGAGTGCTTTGGTCAAGCTTGTATTCTTGTATTTGGTGTTCACAATATATTATGATCACTACACTGGAACTGTCATTTCATAAGAAGCAACCATCTGTTAGCTGAACTGCCCTTTCATTATTTATTCAATAATGCATGTGTTTCTACAGAATTCCTATCGGTTTGTCAATGAAATAAATGAAACGGACAGCCGAGTGACCTCTTCTGGCAACGGCTTCTGTGCACGAAACATGCACGTCGCACTAGTCTCGTTTGTTTCCAATAGTCATGGATGCATAAACATGATCGGTGAAATCACACCCCACAGTGCTGAAACAGATCAATGCTAAACGAGAGAAATATGAACATCTAGCATCAATAAAAAGAATATAAAGCATGTTCATGGTGGATTTGTGGATCTCGAATGACCTCTATGTACTTGGATACGTTCAGATATTTCAATGCGAATGTTTACTTACTAAAAAGTACCATTATAAAATGTACAAGGTTAACTTGTTTGCCAGGACATATCACTAAGGTAATACCACGTTTTTGAAGATAATGATGGTGATATCATTATGGTAGTATTTGAAGTTTTCATTCAAGTATCAATTAAATACCATAAATGTGTTAAATAAAATTAAGTGTCATAGTATTACCATCTGACACCCTCAGTACACTATAGTACCACCATAGTACTTTAAGGGGAATTTATTACTATCATGAATGCAATTTTCTAACATCAATTTAGAATATGAATTTATTTACATGTATACTTTAAAATTATTTATACATCATGGTAATGTTTGTTGTATTGCCTTTATGTAATTAAATAATTAGCAGTACAATAAATCTTGAGTATAAAATGGTACAAATTAAATAATATAAGAAATTTCAATGAAAATAATCATTGTGAATAATGGGAATTATATATATATATATATATATATATATATATATATATATTTCTGTAATTACCATTTATATATATATATGTAATTACCATTTATATATATATATATATATATATATATATATTAATGTAAAACACAGCATTGTTAAATGCACATTTAACATATAAACTTTATATAAAATAAATTAAAACTTGAGTAAAAAAAAAAACAACAACAACTCTAAAATCCCCCCCCAAAAAATTCACCCTATTGCAAAGGGTGGTTATTTACAATAGACTCTTATTTTTAGACTTTTTTTATCACAACCTACACCTCAATAATTATACAAACACCATGCTGAATGCACACGCACCTGTCTGTATTCTATATCCTAAACCAACAGACACACACACACACACACAGGTCTCTCTCTTCCTGTAGCTCAAACAGACATGTCTATCATCATGATGGCCTCAGTTCTGTGGTCAGCGGAGGAGAGGAGGGGGAAAGAAAGAGGAACTTACTGGGATTAAACACAAAAGCCTTGTGTTGACAGTCTCCCTGTGTCACCCCTGAGCCATCACTGCTATTGTTGTCCTTATTTACCATTTTTACTGATTAGGAGGGATGGGGGGGTCCACAGTGTGTAATTTGCCCAGTGGGAGGTAATTATACTCCCATGGCACTTTGATCTTCCTGACTGTGCATTTGACTGGCCGGGCAATCAGCTCCATTGAAAGGCGTCCCACCATGGCCAGCGTCCCCCCTCTCCTTTACTCTCTCTGTGACTATCCACTACAGACAAACAGATTACAATGACTGCTCTTAAAGGGATAATCTTTAAAGCAGGAGTGTAATTGATGTACAATGGAGATAGAGTAAAGGAGGTTGACTAAGAGGAAATAGATGTGTGATATGTTAACTGTGAGAGGGACGCGTCACCCCCATCATGTTAAAGGGATAGTTCACTTTAAAATTAATTTGTGGTATGTTTTAGTTTACCTCAAGGACAAAGATGTAGGTGTCTGTTTCCGCAGTAGTTTCAATTTTGATATTTTTAGGTCAAACCGTTCGTGTCTGTCAGTCATATAATGGAGGTCTATGGTCACCACATCAAAGAGCATGCACAGAGAAGTCCAGATTAAACATGATTTAATGACTCGTAAATGTAAGTACACACTGATGGCCTAAGACACGAAACGAGCGGTTTGTGTGAGAAAACAAACAGTATTTATATCGTTTTTTATATCTCTTGTAAAAACAGCCACAAAGCGCCTGCGCCCTTACCTCTATTACAAAAGGTAAAAACAATATAAATACTGTTCGTTTTCTCACACAAACCGCTCGTTTCATATCTTAGGCCATCAATGTGTACTTACATTTAGGAGTGACTTTAAAAACTATTCGGAAGCCATTTTGTAAACTACTGCAACAGGATTTGCTTTAATCAGAGGTTGCATGTGACGGGGAATGACTTCTGTTCATTGTGACAATGCTTATCTCTGGAAGGGGTTAAAGGTTACGGCTAGTGTTCATTGAAAATTGAATCAGAGGCTCAAAAAACAACAAATGAACGAACAACTCCGTTAAAGAAAAAAAAATATTTGACAACCACTCCATCAAGTACTACCGCCAATTACTAAGATGAATCCTTTCAAAATCACATTAGCTCTTTCTGACGTCAGACGAGGTATTTCACTAAACTGAGTTTCATTTCTGTTCAAACACATACATCAAAAAACTGACTGTAATGTAGAATGTAATGATTCTTAAACACCTGTTTCTAAATGTTACAAGTAACCAAAAGTTCTTATACACTATAAAACAAAAAAAAAATACCAGTTTAGGTTCATAAATCATATTCAATGTTTAAAAAAAAGCAATGGATACTCAATAATTGCACATTTCTTAAGGGTCCCAAATTTGTTGGGAAGGCTGATGATTACGTAAGAAAAATAAATGAAATATATCCAACATAAAAACTACAGTTAAAAAACATGTTCATGATCTGTAATCACAACATTTGTTCTTTATCAAATCAACTTAAATAATTTATGTGGTTCAGATAACTTAATACTTTGAGTTTCTGATGACTAAATCAATCTCCTTTATATTAACTCAATTTTTTCATTTCAAAAAACTTAAAATTATGGCATAGAGGTTACATAATTTTTAAGTTAAACCAACAATATTTTTTTTACAATGTAAAAAATACATTAAAGGGTTCCAAGACAATTCATGGACATTCAAATACATCATAGCAAGAGCAGGCTAATGACAAATTATAATTCTCCAATATGTTGGAACTGATTCACATAAGAGACTCTTCACATTACAGATTTTAAGGCTGAAAGTAAGTCATTGTTTGCCAGATTACACTGTAAAAAAATATTTTCATGATTTGTAAATCACAACATTTTTTCTTCTGTCAAATCAACTTAATTTATGTAGTTCAGATAACTTAATATTTTGAGTTTCAGATGATTAAATCAATCTCCTTCATTGTATTAACTCAATTTTTCCATTTCCACGAACTTAAAATTTTAAGGCAACCAGGTTACTTCATTATTTAAGTTAAACCAACGATATTTTTTTACACTGCATATCATATAAACTGCCACCATTACTACCAACAGGTTACTATAGATAAAACAAGAATATGTAGACTCAGCTAACATTGTGTTGTACTGACATCTGTTGGTCGCACAATGAAACTGAATGAGAAAGCCTAAAACTATCAAGTTCATTTCAGTTTCAAAGTCTTCAAAAATAGTTTGCATGCCCTTTTAGTGCTGATACACACACACACACATCATACATACATAGTAAAACACTACTTAAGATATTGACATTTAAAAAACTGTACAATCCTATCCTATAACAGTGTACTTACCTCATATAATGAGTGTACGAATAAGGTGACGTACCTGTTTGATGGGTATGGCCCTTCCACTCCCTATACTGTCAGTTTTACTCTCAATGCTCTTTGTCTGATCACTGGCTTTCCGTGACTGCAAAGAAACAAGACAAGATGTCAGTGCAAAGAACAAACTGGGAACATACAAGGAGGTGGGGAGGCTGTGTGTGTGTGTGTTGTGTCTTAACTCTAGTGTGTGTGCGCGTAGGTGAAATGTGTGTCAGTGTGTTGTGGGGGACAACAAAAAAATTGCAATAAAAAGGCTGAAATAAACGCGCAAGCAAAACGGTGCAAACATACAGCAGCACATTGAACGTGCAGTATATATAGATACATATTTACACAGACCAGGACAGACACACAAAACGACAACGGAACATATCAAGTTCGACCAGTAACCAAACACAGGAAGTCAGAACTAAACCCCCTCTAGAGCTCTTTTGCGATCTTTGGCGCCTCCCTGTGGCTTTACCAACCACAGATTCAAACATTTCAAGAACAATAAATGCAGTTTTATATACAAAAGTGAGGAAAAACAGCACAGGTTAGTAAGGGGGAAAGGATTCAGTTAATACGGTGCATCTTTTCGACGACCTCCACCTGTCAAAACATTTGATAAACACTGACGAGAAATTAAAAAAAAATGCAGAATTAGGGTTAAATTCACAAACATTTCCAACAAAGCAAAATCACGGGGTGGAAAAACGTTAGGGAATTCATTTATACATTTCAGATCTGGATCACAAGACGTCTTCGCATGCAGGACAGGAAGTGCCTGGAAAATGCCATTAAGGAAAGAATAAAAATTTCCTCACACAAAATGAAGCAAAAACATCCTCAAAACGCACTCACACCCGACCCGACAGACAACATGGTCTCATACGAAACAAGATGAGGTGCTCATTCGCAAATGGAGAGAGATATGGTTCCATCTACTCAAATAAACTAGGCTGATGTGTATTTTTTCAACAGTTTATTTTCGTTTGGATATATACAGACACCATACAAATCAAGTCACAGGTTTACGTGGAAATAGTCAACAGGCAGAGCCACACATTGCAGTTCCCACAAGAGAGAGTTTGACTAAAGAGGCGCTGTTTCATATATCTCATATATGTATAGAATATACTTTCTATAGAATACCATTGGAAATCAAATTCAATACAAGATATACGGCAGTCTATATTTGTCCATTATTGAATGATATAAAAAACGAAACAGTGTGCAACGCATGGAACAGTTCATCATGTTACCACATTTTGAAAAAGAAAAAAAATGAACTAAACAAAAGAACAAAATGGGTCACAAATAGATACTACATTCATACAAGTCGGTGCATTTCCGTCACGCTTCTCTACGTTTATGAAGGCCTTCATATCGTTCAGACTTCACACCGAGCGAGCAAACCGCGAGCGGGAGTCCCCGCGACACCTGCATCAACCAAACGAGCGGCTTTATAAACGCGTCACAACGCAATGTGACGTCTCGGGGTGTCACGTGACATCGGTTTAGCTTCACAGTTAGTTGGCGGTCGGCAACGAAAAATCGAGCTATGTCACCCGGGATCCGGATTCACATCTTTTTATCGACCGTGTAGCATCGGGACCTCGACTAGCATCACACTCGAGTATGACGAGCTTTACAAAGCCGCGGTCTTGTTAATAAAGATGAACGGAGACGCGAGGCGCAGTCTGTGGCGCTCGGTGTGAAGTGTGACTGGCTAAACTAACCCATCAGACACAAAACTCAAAACAAAAACAGGGGGGGGGAAAAAGAACAAAACAAAGAATATCTTGGCAAATCTCCTAGCGTTTGGAATTACCGCAAAAGTTCTGTCCTTTTGAAATGCGAAAGCATCCTTTTTTCTTTATTAATTTTTGGGTGTTGTCGATGGCTATAGTCCGAGATTGTTCAGTATGCAGGATAAACATTTAGCTGTAAAATGACTGATTATGACTCAGTTCAATGTGTTCAGGTAACGAAAGTTCGAAATCTGTCTTTTTCTGTCCAACCAATGTCCTTTAAACTCAACCATGGCTGCCAAGGGGCATGTGTCCAAGAAAGCCATGGTGATACCCACGATGCAATGCGGGCTATTAGGGGGAATAAAGCGGCGCTTGTTTGCTCCCCTCCCATAATGCATTGCGGTCGTACCACCACCACCACCAAGGGCTCATCTAATTGAGGAGAAGCTGGAAAGCCCTTTTAGTTGAAGATAGGTTGGAAACAGAGGAACAAATCTGGAAATATCGACAAAAACAGTTCAACACTTTGGTCACGGGGAGCGTGAAAAAAAAAAGCAATGGATCGTAAAAAAATGCTAAGACATCTACATTGGATATGATGGCAGATGTGGTGTGATTATTGGCTTTTTACAGGGCAAAGAGTGATGATGTGTCGAGAAATAATAAAATAAATCAAACCCCTTCCTGTGCTCTTGTAGAATGAAAAATAAACAGATGCCACATCTGACCAATGACAAAAAATGGTCGTTTTTACGTATTATGGAAGCACTGTGCTTGGTTTCCTGTCCTCTGCTGACATCTAGTGGCAAAGACACACACTTATGAAATGATAATCATGAGGGAATGGTATGAATATTGTGAGGTGATAGGAAATACTAAATTGGCAAACTGTTCTTTTTATATTATTCAATAATAATATTTAATCTTAGATTTTTTTAAACAAAATATTGAATTTATGGCTTTCTTTTTATATTTGTATTTAATATGGAACAAAATGTTTCATTCGGTCTTACCTTAATTTATTGGCACTGATGTGTGTATATGTATATATATATATATATTCATTTATATATGTATATATACACGCACATAATTTATTTTATTTCTTTTTTGTGGTTTTATCTTACAGTCTACTGGTGGAAACAAATTTACTCTTTCACTATGATCAAAAAAGACTATGATTATAAGGCCACTCTTGACTTGGAACAATAAAATAACATCAAACATAAATTATATTTATTTGATTGAAAAAACAAAACAAAAAAAAAACTGCCGAAAGTTCTGGTGCTAGCTAGCAAAGACAAAAAGGCTTTCCTCATTTTTCGCATGCTATTTTGCTAAAATTTGTCAAAAAAAAAAGATCCAATTGGCAATGAGATGACTGGTTAGAGATGTCATCGAAAGGGTAAATTAGTGAACGGTCCAGATCTCCCAGCCGTCTTCTGAACGTTGTCGAGGGGCTGCGTTGGCCCCTCCCTCTGGGTATGGCTCCTCCCACACTCCCTCCCCGCCCTCACCCTCGATCCCGCCCACACGGTAAGTCTGGTTCACGGGGCTCCTCAGAAGGTCATGAGTTGAAACTCCCGTTCGCTCTGCCACTCGGGCACCCAGACGGGGTAGGTGGCGTGCTTCGGCTCCGTCACGCGCACCGGCAGAGCGTCGTGTCTCGCGTGGATGGGGTTAGACACGACCTAGCAGGGAGGGAGGGAGAAACAGGACAGGGGAAGCTAGCAAAAGAGCCGGCACTGCTGCAGCCAATCACCTTGCAGGGTCCTTTTTGATTGGAGGAGAGTTTGGGGCAAATTGAATTGGTTATATGGTGTGCGGGGTGGGGGGTGGGGGTTGATTGGTAGTGGATCTTGATAGGTTAGATTGGAGATGGTGGTGTTGCTAGTACAGTAGTAGAGTGTGTGTGTGTGTGGCTCTGCCTCTCTCTGTCTGGCTCCAGCGGAAAGACACGCTAGGTGAATGTCTGTTAAAGAAGAGAAGGGGGCGGGGCTTGCTAGTGGAATTTTGCAGATTGACACAGTGAAATTAGGAAGGGCAAAGGGAAAACTATCAGTATTGGGGAGGGGAGGTATTCAAATCCTAAGTTCCCTTGGTGTACAGCTTTCAAAATGTAGTCTATAAAAGACGAGGCAAATCAAAATGGTGGAAAAATTAGCGTAAATTGCTAAACATCTCTCGCGGTTTAATGCTTGCCTCCCCGCATTTACTGTAATATGCAGCTATAAAAAGCATGTGGGTCATGCGCTTCTGTGGTAGCAGAGGCAGGAGGGATTCGGTTACACTTAGTTCTGTACCTCCCTCTGGTGGTCAGAGATGGCATTACTCTCTCTGGCTTTGCCCTCCACTGCCCTGGCTTGAGGGGAAGGGGGTGATGAGAGGGTACCTAAGGGCAGATCCACTCACTGCAGACCTAGAAACAGCTTCTCTCTTGCTCACTGGCCGTCTGAAAGCAGCAGGGGCTGCTGGGAGATCTGCAGTCAGGGGAAGTCCAGCACTCTCAGTAGTGGGAGTGCGTGGTGCTCTGCATTAGCTGCCTCATACTTACTGTGAAGATATTGGAGCGTCGTTTGGACTGCTTGCGGATGGGCGTGGGAGTGTTGGAGGCCGCCACTGTCTCGATGCGCATCTCCCTCTGGCTTATGCTGGGGGTGGAGGGGACAGAGGAGGAGTAATCGCTGAACGCGCCTCCTCCATTAGCAGCCTGAAACAGACAGAGGGAAATGGGGAAGGAGGGAGGGAAGGAAGGAAGGAGGGAGGATGGATGGATGGATGGATGGATGGATGGATGGATGGATGGATGGATGGATGGATGGATGGATGGATGGATGGATGGATGGATGGATGGATGGATGGATGGATGGATGGATGGATGGATGGATGGATGGATGGATGGATGGATGGATGGATGGATGGATGGATGGATGGATGGATGGATGGATGGATGGATGGATGGATGGATGGATGGATGGATGGATGGATGGATGGATGGATGGATGGATGGATGGATGGATGGATGGATGGATGGATGGATGGATGGATGGATAGATAGATAGATAGATAGATAGATAGATAGATAGATAGATAGATAGATAGATAGATAGATAGATAGATAGATAGATAGATAGATAGATAGATAGATAGATAGATAGATAGATAGATAGATAGATAGAACAACATAACGTTAGATAAACAGATATAATGACAGATAAAATGAAAGATTGAATGAACGACAGGCGGAAATACAGATATAACGATAGATAGATAGATAGATACAAACAGACAGACAGATAGATAGATATGAAAAGAACAAGAGAGATAATCAGTATGATTTAACAGATTTTCATTTTAATTCATAAAGGCCTGTTTTTGCATCCTGATTCTCATACTTGCATTATGCAAACATAAATATGAACTGCACTGTGCAGAGGGTTGTGGGCAATATTAGTACATTATCCAGTACTTATGCTCACTTTAAAAATCAATTTATGTTACTTTGGAATTCTATTTCCAAGGAACTATCATTTGGGACAGACCAATTCTAATTTGACACACTAATAGTATGTATAGTATGTAAAATGAAATGCAGCCCAAGCCATACCATTAAATTAAAAGAAGCAGGCAAGCTTTAGTTAGGCTGATCAGAGTTTGTGAGATAGTAGAAATCTGAATGCTTAAAACAATTGTTGTAAGTTCAATTCCATGTAGACCAGCCCTGGTTTTAAAGTAGAATAGCATTTTTCCTAAGCCACTTTATCCCTTATAATAACGTACCATGGTAAACCTATTTCTGTATTAAATAGCATAGCTACTACAATTACTGTTGTAGAACTATAATAAATAATTTTGTCATTTTATTTAATTTATTTTGGTTTTTAACTATTTTGGTGAAAATATGGTCCATTTTTAGAAGGCTTTTATATAATACTGTATATATATATTTTTTTTTTTCTTTTTTCCAAATAACAACAAGTCCATTCTCTTCTCTGAGAATGCAGTGTGAGGCTGACCCCCGATCAGAACAGATGGCCCAGACTCACCTGATTAATGTGTACAGAGGGGATGGACGCGGCCGGGACAGACGAGTGGCTGGGAGAGTTGGGCAGAGATTTACAAGGACCAATCGAAAGCTGCTGTTTTTTCCTCAGCGCCACCACTTTCTGAGCAACTGCAATCACATATCATAAACATTTCAACTTTGAAATCAATCTAAAGTATCTAACATCTACATGTATGTAAATCACATACAAATATTTGACACGTCCTACAGATCGTATTTGACATTTTAAAATGAAAACCAATTTTCACCTATGAGGTGAGATCGCCCGCCGGTCTTAGAGTTTGGAGTTTTTATATACACTACCTATCAAAAGTTTTAGTACTTTTAATCAGCAAAGATGCATTAAATAGATCAAAAGTAACAGTAAAGACATTTATAAATGACGCAACATATTTTTTTTATTTTAAATAAATAAACTTTCTATTCATGAAAGAATCCTGAAAAAAGTATCACTGGTTCCACAAAAATATGAAGCAGAGCAACTTTTTTCAACATTGACAATAATAATCAGAAATGTTTCTTGAGCATCAAATCATAATATTACAATGATTTCTGAAGGATCATGTGACACTGAAGACTGGAGTAATGATGCTGAAAATTCAGCTTTAATAATATATTCAAACAGAAAACAGCTATTTTAAATCGTAATAATATTTCAAAAATCTTTTTCAAAATCGTTTGATCAAATAAATGTAGCCTTGGTGAGTATTTTTTAAAAGGATTTTTGACTTCCTTTAAAAAATAAAATAACAAAAAATCTTTTACCAACTTTTGAAAGTTAGTTAAAGCATGCAAGTATTTGTCCATGATATTTACATTGCATCCAGTGCTTATTTATTTTGTAGGCAGATGTTCATAACTTATGCATGTCCAATTTCTCAGTTGTAATTCGATTGTAATGACGCACACCAGGTTTGGTCCACAGCAGTGAAATGTTTTCGTGGAGATTAACCGCATAAAACCGGGAACCCTGGAGACCGACAGTACAGTGTGCCTACAGACACTGAGCAAGTGACTCAACATTATTCACTTCTACTCCTCACAGAAACAAAGACAGACAGGAAGAGAGAAAGATGACTTCAACACTACACACAAACGAGAGCTGTACAGAGGAAGACTGAGCGAAAGAAACCGGCAAAGACGAGATGATGTTTATCCCAAGTCGACCGGATCACCGTCTCCAGACAACAAACGCATCTCTGTCTTTTAATTATTTCAAATGCGGCCCGAGGAGGCAATTACACGCAGAAGAAAACAGCAACCGGCAATAAACACAGGGCCGAGAGAAATCCATCCTGACAACCATGATATTAGAGATCGGAGGAGACTGAAACGCTGCGGAGCAATAAAGCGGCTGGAATTACCGCGCGGGAGGAACTCTCATATCGATATTTGGAGCAGCCAGGATACATGTGCGGATGCTTGATAAACACTTATGTAATGTGTATTGGTTAGGTGTTGTGATGCCACTCTACCTCGAGCAGGCGGCTAGAGGGACACAAAAGAGATGTGTGGGCAGATCGCTGTTGCTTACTCAGCAATACATTCATGCCACATGACGACAGTGGGCGGAAGAGAGAGCGCTATCAGTGAACTCGGAGTGCCGCTGATATTCCAACCGCTTTTTAGGATTGTTCGCGAAAGCACTAACCGCGCTACCGACATAAAAACACGGTTCTTTGTTAGATGAGAAGATAAAAGCAGAACATTGGACCATAATGCATTCAGAATGTCTCACAACAATAGTTGATGTGTGTATATTATATAATACAATAAGCAAAGTATGTCATAATCAACACCCATTCACGGTCATACCTTTAAAGATGAATGCATTACACTCTTAGAAGAAAAGGTTCGATCAGCGCTACGTATTTGGAACCCCTAAAAGGTTCTATACACTCTTAAAAAAAGGGTTCCTCTGGGTTCTATATAGAACCCTGGGGTTCCATACTTGGCCAATAGAAACTTTTACCCTATACTGTATAGAACCATTTTGGAGTTCCATATATGAAGCGGGGGATGGAACCATTTCTTCTAAGAGTGTATAATCAACACCGTTGTTTTATGATGAAACGATGAGTGTCTTAACAGCTTTTCAGTTATTGCTTTATTTCTGCTTTTTGACATCATAAAAAATAACTACTGGACTACAATAAAACAACATTCACTATGAATATAATAATAGCAGGAGTAATAAAATCAATTAAAAAAATGGTATTATTATTGGTAACACTTTAGTTTAGGGTCCAATTCTCACGATTAACTAGTTGCTTATTATCATCTATATTACTATGATATTGGCTGTTTATAAGTACTAATAAAGCACATATTAATGCCTTCTTCTGCATGACCTTATTCTACATCCCTTAATCCTAACCAATACCAAAACTTAACTACCTTACTAACTATTAATAAGCAGTAATTAGGAGTTTCAGGTTAAGTCGTACTTAATTGTTAGTTAATAGTGAGAATTGGACCCTAAACTAAAGTGTGACCTTATTATTACATTATTACATTATGTTTATACAGTGTATGTTATTTTGGTTTATTAAAATGGCTCCAGTCTGTGTGTAATTATTATTATTAATAGTAAAAACATTTTTGCTATTCCGTTATATTTATACAGTCTATATATATATATATATATATATATATATATGAAGAGTTCAGATGCAAAAGCCTCTAAATGCCATTTGAAATTCTCTTCTTTAATGATGATTTTTATCAAAATTGTATATTTAAGTTTAGTAATTTCACTTAAACAACAATTAATAGGTAATTATCATTGCCATTTAAGTGAAATCACTGAACTTAAATATACAAGCTTGATAAAAATGATCATTCTAGAAGAAAATTTCAAATGGCACTTAGAGGCTTTTGCATCTGAACTCTTCATATATATATATATATATATATATATATATATATATATATATACACACACACTCTCTTTCTGGAAGTTGTTGCAATGCATTAGTTTTTGCAATTCTTACAACCTCTTCAAAAACTACCTAGATTTTCATTAACATCAAGGTTCTCCAGTTCGACACTGGTCCATACTTATAAATAACGGTCTCGAAGAACAAGGAATATTATCTACGACCTAGGATAATATCTTAAGACTGCATAAACACACTAGTTAACACATCAAGCATCTCACCGTCTTGAAAGACTCTCTCCACGTTAAGACCATAGGTGGAGCAAGTTTCGTAATACGTGGAGCGTTTCAGGTCGTTGGACAGTTTCCGAGCTCGGGCGTCATCTATCACTCTGGGGTTGGCGGCGCTGATGGCATCTAAAAGACATATGATGTCATTAAGTGAAGACGCAGCATACAGTATTAATTAGTGTGCGTACTATTCTTTAAAACTAACTACTCTTCAGCAAACATAATGACAGTACAGCATCGAAACGCTCATCATTTGTTAATTATGCGTCTCATCAAAATCCAATTTTAAATTCAAAGTACTGGGCAAATGCGCCAGAAAGAGTATTTTACCGCAGATGAGACTTCCTAGCCTGCTGCTTTATTAAAACAAGACAAGTGTATCATTTCGTCACCTTCAAGACTATGACTAAGTGTGAGACTTTCATGGCAGATCTAATAAAAACATGTGCACTTCAAATTCTGGGTATCCTGTGGTCTACCGTAGAAGAACGATGGTGTCGTGACTCACCCTGCGTCCCCACCAGAACCATGGGAACCTCTGCCACGTTCCTGTAGCTGGAAAGACGCAGGAAGTAGTTATAAACCGTCTGGAAGCTGATCTCATCCTCCAAGCTGAAGACGAACACCACCGCGTCCACCCAGGCAGCAAACTGAAAACAAGCAAACAAAACACTATCAATCTGTGCAAATTTAATCATTTAATTAGGCTAACAAGCTTTTGTGACAATATCTATATCTATCTATCTATCTATGTATGTAAATATGTGTATATATATATACACACACACACACACACACACACATATACATATACATATATATATATATTCGCATCCAAAATAAAAGTTTGTGTTTATGTGTGTGTAGTGTATATAATTAATTTGTACATTTAAATACACACACGCATGTATATATTTAAGAAATATTTGCATGTATATACTTTATATATATTTATACATAATTAATATTATATATAAATATGTGATATATTAATAACACATTTTTGTGTGGGTATTTATATATAAAAAATAATTATACACACTACACACACATACATTACGTAAACACAAACTTTTTATTTGGATATATATATATATATATATATATAATAAAAATATTATTATAATTTAAAATAATGGTTTTCTATTTTAATATACTTTAAAATATAATTTATTTCTGTGATCAAACCTGAATTTTCAGAGTCATTACTCCAGTATTCAGAGTCACATGATCCTTCAGAAATCATTCTAATGCTAATTTTAAACTCAGTTATCATCAATGTAGGAAACAGTTGCGCTGCTTAATACTGTTTTAGAACCTATGATACTTTTTACAGGATTCATTGATGAATATAAATAGATATTATTATAGATACTGAGCAGATGGACCATTGTATATGCTAGTTATATTTTGCAGTGCGGGAAGAAACATTTCAGTAATTTTAAGCAATTTTGGTTGTTTACTGAAGCCTACGTGCATGTTATTCCTATTTTAGTTTTCTATTACCTGCAGGAGAATAATTCTAATCATGGATCAATTTCGTGACTAGTAACTTAAATTGTTTCAGAGCCCTGAGACACACTCACTGACGTCTGCTTGAAATTTGAAGGGCCGTATAACAAATTCTTGTGGTAATTTGCATTCTAATCAATTACGCATTACCATAAAACCAGCTAAACGGAACACAGACTAACTGAGAATAATTATCACGGCTATTCCACAAGGAGCTACACGGGCACAAAAAGTTTCACTCGAAATCCCTGTTCCCACAACACAGGAAGCGAGCACTCATCCCCGCTCGCCATGAGAACCATCAGACTATAATTACACTGAGCCGCAGCAAAATGTGAAAATAGGGCCACCATGAAATGGGTCCCACGGGGCAAGTACAGCCGTTCAAAATGACACGGCACCAAACATCCCGCTCTCTGCTGAGGGAATGGGGACTGGGCGACACATTTGTGGAATATTTTAACAGCTATTTGTTCTCCGCTTTTCTCAATTTGTGAAAAATCCCACTTTCTCAGATATCATCAATTATTGTAGCGCCGCGTCAGCATGAAGCCCCGAAGCTGCAAATTGAGCAAGATAATTAAGGTGTTTGCAGTATTACCTCTAGTACTTTAGTAACAACTACAGTTAGATGTCCGTACATGACCCAAAAACGTCAGTTCATCCAAAATGTTCACGCTACTCTTTTCTTTTAAGTTTTTATGTTCATTTCCCCTATTTTTAGATTTAGTTTACCTTTGCCATTTTAATATTAACCTTCAAATGGTCTTCATTTCATTGATTGAGTAATTGTACAAAATATATAAATTTTTAATCATACAAATAATCTATCTTTTTTTTTTGTTTGTTTGTTTACTTCTCATCTATTCATTAATGCTGTGTTTTTGGAGATAAAAAGTATCCATTAAAGTATCCTTGTGTATCCATATACCACACAATTCCTCAACTACACCATTAGCTTTAGCATTAGCATATGATACATTGCATGTATGCTCTAATACTAGGCCTTCATTTCTGTGTAAAAATTTTCAGATTTATGCTGGATTTTTTTTTTTTTTGACACATGAAGAAAATATATTTAGGTTTTTTTTACATTTCCCATTCATTTCAATGTGGGGTCATGTTGACCCCGAAGACCAGAAGTGTACACATTGTTTTTACATACCTTCAGAACAACCGAGTTTTTTTTTTTGTTTTTTGTGTGTGTGTGTGTGTGTGTATAGATAGATAATGTATGAAAAGTCACAAAATGTTATTCCACTGAGATGAAGGGAACCTTTTTTTTTATTAAGTAAAGTCGATTGGGGTCGACTTATAGACCCCATGACCCGATTGAGGGCTAAAATTGGACCTTCTCTAAATACAAATCATGATGACAACAACTATGGTGCTTTTTCGACTTCATTAGCCACACTACAGTATATCATTTGTTCTATGGACAATTTTCTATGGAATAGAGGAGAATGAACATTCTGCATAACAAAATAAGTTTAAAAAAATATTTTTTTTTTGTTGAGCAAACTATTCTTTTAGTTTATTATAGTTTTCAAATTATTATAGTTTTAAAGCCTCATAAATAAAAGGGAAAATTGGACATGTTATTGGTAACTAAAAATAAAGCTATTAAAATAATTGTAGTTAATTGAAACAAAGCTGAAATAAAAACTAAATATTAGATTAAAAAAAAAAAAACAATTTAAAAACTTAAAATTAAGTATTTTTCTAAGTATATATTAATAAAAAACTAATCTCAGAAATGTGGCCTTGGAAACTAAATGAAATGGGTTTAAGTTGAAGAACTATACAGATTAATGAAAACTGAACATCTAAATCCAAAAGCTAATCCAAAATATTATAATTGTGTGTAAACAATGCCCAGTTTGGCTTGTGGCTTACCTGCAGTTCTGGGGGCCCGCCTTCATCTCTGATCAGCAAGAGATAACTTTGTCCATCCACCACAATCTCCTTTTTAAACCTCCCTCCTGCAAAAACACAGAACAACATTAATTATACTGTTTCTATATAACATGGTCCTCTGTGAAGCTCATTCATCATCAGGCAGTGTGCTGTTAACGTCAACGGCATCAAGATTAAGGGACTGAAGATACACCCTCCAGTCCCGTCAATCTGAACAGAGAGACATTTCCAATTTTCAATTTATGTATACCTTCTGGCAGTTGTGAAGTGTTGGACAAAGGATGGAGAAAGATAGAGAAAGAGCGGATAGAGTTAGCGAGCGTGCAAATGAGTGTTTGGGATGCGCGTGTGAGCATGTCTAAACATGACTAACGATTAAAGCCGGCAGAGGGCCGCCCATCGCTCCTGCTTGAAACATGGGAATCTCTGTTAACAACGAGTAGAGCAACTGATGAAAAAGAAATATCAGCCAACAAATGAAATTAGGCAAGCCTTATCCGAAAATCTAAGTGATTTCGACACCAGCAGTGAAATGAGAGTCTGAGACTTTTTCACCCTTCATTTATTCTCTCCTCTACAAGTTATTTTCCTTCCTCACAGCCGCTGGCGCTCTGAAAGCTGAAGGGACTTGTGAGATTCCCACAAATTAAATAGCATTTTTTTAATAGTAGGAAAGTTTGTGGAGTCGACTTACGGTAATCTTCTAGAGAACAAAAGAGGAAGGGTGATTATGACAGATTAAAAAGGCAAGGCGACGAGTGGAACCGCCTAGAGACGAGAGGGCTCGATTTGTTTGAACTGCTAGGAAATTTCAATAAGCAGCCGCTGAACGGCACAGCGGTGTGGTACAGAAATGATGTGACAATGTTAGTTAAGAGAAAGAAAATATGAAAAAACAATATTTAATAATAAAAAATATATTTAAAATATCTAAAATGTAAAATGAAAACAGTTTACATATTTTAAATTTAAATGAAAAAAAATGTATATAATATAGAAAAATAAATAAACATAACAATAATCATATATACATAAATGAATTATGAACAAATTATTTGACATAATATACTAAATAAATAATATAAGTTACAATAATAAATAAATGTTTTATTATAACAGTATTTTATAAAGAATATCATATATAATTTAAATAATAAATGAATATAATAAATGAATACAAATTTTTATACAGACTGATAAATAAATGAAGCTGAAATGATAATAATAAATAAATGAAAACACTATAACACTATTTTTAAACCCAATTTATATATATATATATATATATATATATATATATATATATATATATATATATATATATAAACGAAACATTATTAATAAATAAAATACTATTTTAAATGATAAACTTACAATAATGATATATACTTTTAGATATATTATTAAATATACAAAAATATATACAAGATATTTAACAATTACTCAATTATAAAATTATTATTAAACCAAGAAACAATAAAACAGACTAAACTAGGGGGCTATATTGTACACAATGCGATGCAATAAACTTGTCTTTGCATTTACAGCCTGATAAATAAACAGGAAGTGATTAAAGTGACAATTCTAACACTTGTTTTTGATCCATTATTTCATCTTACAGCTGGAAACCTTCACAAGCTATGTGATGAGAACATGTGGCAACTAGCATAATATAAAAAGCTGGCAGCGATCCAGGTCAGTTCATTCAGTGCATGACTTCACTCTGACAACCTATTCAGCCGAACTATCGCAGGCTTACTGTACCTCTGCTTCCTTCTGGGAAATGCATGATGGAGCTTCGCCACTACTGAGAACCTCCTCAGTGTAAATATAATGACTGAATGCTCGTTCTACAGTGTGTGTGACTGAAACCTGCTAAAGTTCGTGCCACATGGCCAATCATTACTTTCAAGTTCAGTGAACCCTGGACTAAATTGGTAAAAATGATATAAATACTGTTCGTTTTCTCACACAAACTGCTCGTTTCGTGTTTTAGCCCATCAATGTGTACTTACATTTACGAGCCATTACGTCATGTTTAATTTGGACTTCTCTGTGCATGCTTAATGAGGTGGTGACCATAGACCTCCATTATATGACTGACAGACAAGAACGGTTTGACCTAAAAATATCAAAATTGAAACTACTGCCGAAACAAAGACACCTACATCTTGGATGCCCTTGAGGTAAACTAAAACATACCAAAAATTAATTTCAAAGTGAACTATCCCTTTAATAAGTTCATCTGTCCTGAAAATTCATCCTAGCTATTTTTATTCCATAATGCTTCCCTTCAGCCTAAAAGCAAAAGGGTACAGGATAATTTTCTTTCTTAAAGGAGAACAAAATGTTCGTGCTGGTAAACATTAATCCACCAGATCAAATTTCAAGCATTATAAATATTCAGAAATAATTATTTAATCTACTAAGGAAAATGCAAGTCATGCTTGCATGCAAAACAGATCTGAAAATCAGTCACTTAGAAAATTTAATACAGTAGTTTCACAATCCACACGACTCGATGAATCAATTTGTTTGCTCAAATACAACCGTAAAAATACTTGACTTAAAAAGCGCCACTAAAAATGGTTGTTTAATTGAAAGTAGTTCAGTTTTTCCAGCACATTGATTCACTGAGGATTTTGAAGTTGTTGAAAAAAAAAGGGCACGTCTGAACATGTCATAAAATGACAGAACAAAAATCCCTGCAGCAAAGTCCCCTGCTCATTCAGACTTTGGCAGAAAGCCCTGTAAACATCAAAATAGATGGTTTCTCATTGTAGTTTTCTTTTTAGCCTAACACAGACCTAAAATAACGAGTCTTACTGAAGCTTTTGGCGACGCTGAAACTCAGCCCTGATTTCAGTCTTCAGGAATCCGTCGTTATTATTCTAATCTCTAATTTAGATTTCAGAAGGGGCAGCTGGTGCCAAGAGGGCATAAACATTTAATCTCTCCCCGTCACTCAAAAGTAAACGCTGAGGATTGATGACACGCTCTGGTGGCCTGACCCTCTGTTGCCATGGCAACGCCTGAGCAACCACAGAGGCGGAGCATCGGCTTGGAAACTCACAGCTCCGTCTGTGCAGGAGCAAATGACAGATGACAAATTAAGATTAAAAGAAATTAGGGATATTTTCAATCAAGCGGTGCTTAATAAACCCGAGGACGTCTGCAAACGACTCATGCAGTATGAATCACAATAACATTCAATCACGCAAACGCTCTTCTGACAAATATTTGAGCAAGTGTAAAACAACAATACTAATGTCAGACAATGCAGGAAAGAGTCTTCTCTTACATAATCTTTGCTTTGGACATGATAACATGGTGAAAACGTGGCTTTTTTGGACATTGACTAAAGTAAAATCATAGTATTGTTTGAGGTAGCTCCACTGAAATACTATTTTATATGAATATATAGTAATCCCTTTATGAAAAATGTACCATGGTAAAGTAGTGGTATCAGGTGGTAAATACCAAGGTGTTTTGATACTGGTATATAACGAAAAACACATGGTAGTACCATGGTAAGGTTTGGTATGATTTTATACACTAAACGTTCAAAAGTTTGGTCAGGTTCCTGACCAAAGAAATAAATAATTTTTCAAGAAATAAATACTTTTATTCAGTAAGGATGCATTAAATAGATAAAAAATGACAGGAAGACATTCTATTTCAAATAAATATATATATACAGTGTGTATATATATATATATATATATATACTGTATAATATGAGGCAGCACAACTATTTTGAACATTGATAATGATAAGAAATGTTTCTTGAGCAGCACACCATCATATTATAATGATTTCTGAAGGATCATGTGACACTGAAGACTGGAGTAATGATACTGAAAATTTAGCTTTGATCACAGATATAAATTGCTTTTTAGGATATATAAACATATAAACCAGTTATTTTAAATTGTAATAATATTTTACAATATTGCTGTTTTTACTGTATTTTTGATCCATGTTTTTACTGTATTTTTGAATTCTTATCAACGATAAGATTAAAAAAATCTTATCAACCCCAAACCTTTGACCAGTAGTGCATCTTTTATATAAAAAAAAAATAAATAAATAAAAAAAAAAACACATTGCTTTACCACTGGGTACCATAACAAACTTTTTTCTAAGGGAAGTCCAAGGACAAGGCTTTATTACAGAACATGATGTTCATTTTTAATAATAAACCAATATAAACAATAATATTAACTATGCAACACGAGTTAAACAACACACTAATGTTCTGCCTTGATGCGAGTTATACATCACAGAAAGACTGATGTATTGGATTTCTATTATAGAACAACAAATATGTGTTAGTTTAAGTTAACTACTCGGACTGTGTTAATACCAATTTCACAATCCCACAGCGATTCATTGATTCTCGTTTTTCTCACTGCATTAGACATGAGCATTATTCCACATCAACGCCACAGTCCGGTCCGAGAGAAGCTGAGAATCAGACTGAATGAGACAGAACTGTGAAAGCTGCATCGAAACGAGTCCCAACAGGCTCAGGAGTGTTTTCCTTCAAGAACACAATGTGCATACAGGCTTCCAACAAAACCCACTGGGCCAGAATACTGAAGTTTAGCCTATTTTGAGGTATGTTCCGGGTAAGTAAAAAATACATCAGCAACAACTGTGTTCCACAGAAACTTATTCTGACTCATCTCTAACTCTAAAATAAAAACATGCAAAAACAGATTTGCAGTAATGCACTTGCAATGTGCTGCTAGTATTTTGGCTAAAGCGCTTCATTCTTAAACCAAAACATCTGTGTTATAATGCGAGTCATAAAGTTATCTAAATCCTCCTTTTAGCACGGAACTATTGTTTATGCAGCAAAATTTCTTAACATAAACAGTGTTTTTCAATAGTTACATTGCAAATATTTCGTTTTTTTTATTAATATTGAATATGATTTTTTTTTTTTTTTTTGATGAATGATACTCTAAACAAGAAACTAAAACCACCAGTGGCGGAAGTGAATGAATGAAGTCATTCATTCATTCATACATTCGATTCGTTCAAACAGCCGATTCATTCAGGAATGAAATAACTGGCTCTCTTTATGAATGGGTCATTGAATCATGTTCAGCAGAAGAAAGAAATTCATACAGGTTTGAACTTGAGGGTGAGTAAATGATGACAGATTTGTAATTTTTAAGTGAACTACTCTTTTAACTATATCAGGAGACACATTTTTTTTGCCCTGATATCTTGAATTTTAGGCCGTAGGCTTCATCAAATTTTCATCTTCAATCAGCTGTATGAAATATAAGACCTACGTAGTTCTTTGGCAGGGTGGGTTCCTTAAATCCATGAATAATTTTAACACATTATTTCCATAAGTAATTCATTCAATTAACTTTTTAAATCAACAGCCCAAGTTCTTCTAAAAATGAGTAAACAAATGCAGCGAGCGCACAGATGACCATATGAGACCAAACAAATTCATGGCCAGCCAGATCTGCTCCGCAGCAGGAGGTCTTGTTGGGTGGCTGGCCCTGACAAACACACAGTATTCGGCCCTCCCCGCTGCTCACTCACCCTCAGGCGACTCCTCCTGGACATATGTTCCTGTCAGATACCGGTGAACTAATGCGGACTTCCCACTGGACAGGTTTCCCACGATGCCCTGCATGGAGAAACAGACACGCATTTGACGACAGTGTTTGGGTGTATAATGCAGAAACACAACAGAATAGCAAACAAATAATCGTCTGGAAGATAATCAGTGAGATATATTTTAGGATATTAAATAGGGCTGGGCAAAAAAATCGATTTTTCGATTAATCGTTTTTTAAAATGTGTTCGATTCAAAATCGATTCTCAACGGCCGGAATCGATTTTTTCCATATAAAGGGCTCGCGGACGCGGTGCTGCATCTTCTCGTCTCTCTGCACTAGGCAAGCGCCAAGCGCTGCAGCTGTCGATACACACACGCGTTTAGGAGTCGGGACATGACAGAATATTCACGTAACAATCGGGCCAGCATTGCATCGTAACCTATGATCGTAACTAAAGTTTATAATTTTCACGTCTTTTTAAGTTTTACAAGCAATGTTAAACTAGCCCGTGCTCGCGCACTCTCAGAGATGTCTTTCACTGCGTGCACAGTAACGTTACAGCCTAAATCTGCCTCGCAAACAGCTCGCCAGAAACAAAAGTTTTATCCCTGGATTATATCACTTTAACAGTTAAAACACGCGACATTATGTCAAAACTCTGGTCTTGGTGAGTAACCTCGTAAAGACAGTCGGTAATGTCTTAAATTAGCATTAAACGCGTGTAACAGAAAGTTAATGAAACAGTAATGGATTCGCGCACTAGTTCTTAAAGTGAACGCAGCCATTTGTGTCAGTCATTAATTCTGTTGTCATAACAACAGAATATAGTATTAATTGTAAGCAATCAGAATTAATAGCCTTTGTATGGACTAAAAAGACTATCCAGTGTTATTTTACATTGGATTACTTTAGTCAGTTTCTGTAGTATTTCTGACATACCCAAAAAACTACCCCAAAATGTCTCTTAATTTGTGTCTTTATTCTATTGTATTTATTTGTGCTACTTTTTTCAATTTAATTCAAAGATTGAAATCAAGCTTCCATACATAAACTCTTAAAACAAAAATAAACAAAAAATTACATTACCATTTAGGTAAGATCAATGTAAAAAAAATGTCTAAATATTTATATATTTATTTATCTATATCTATCTTAAACATAAAATAACATGATACTGTTTGATCAAACTGTGCGACTGTTCTGACTTTTTTTGCATATTGCATCAAAATCCTGTTTATTCTTTGTATGCATTTAGTAAATAAAAAGAGTTTTATATACAGGTTTATGGCTCTTAATTTCCTTGTATTAATTAACCACTAGTAAATATAGGATTTATATTACATCTTCATTATAGTCGAATCGAGAATCAAATCAGGAATCGAAATCGAAAATTGAATCGAGAATCGAAATCGAATCGAACTGAGAGCTTGTGAATCGAAATTGAATCGAAATTGAAATGTGAATCGATACCCAGCCCTAATATTAAATAACTAATAAAATTAGCTATTTAATATGAAAGTGTCACGGATGAAATGTAAATCTCAGTGAGAGTGAGGGTGAAAGACACCATCCCCTTCGTTGATGAGACTAACCAAATGGGCCTAAAAGACAATAATCAGTTTCTAAAACTATTCACTACCAACAGATGGAGAGCATCCGTTCTGTATCCAGGACTTCCCTCAAACGAGTCGAGATCCCTTCTGTCATCAAACAACCCCTCAACCGTGGAGAAAAGCAACTTACAGGAGTTTCCTCACACTTGACGCAACTGTTCCGCCTGTCAGTCCACGGGAAGACGGCTGTTCCTGCACCGATGGATAATAATTCCCTACCAGCTGGAGATGGACAGCTTTACAAACACGAGGACAGATACACCTGTCTTCCCCCTCGAACACTGGAGATGAAGAACTTCCTAACAAATATTGAAGTGAATTTACGAGGTGGGAGCTGATAAAAATTTTATCTACTTCTCAGAACTCTGCAGAAAAAATCAGTGGCCGGTTGCATTATATTAACTCCTTAGACTAGTCTTCCAAGTTAGTCATCATTCTTTTTCTTCATGTATGGTCAAGGGCCTCCTTTTGCAGCCAATACAGCATCAATTTGTCAGCATGGAAGTGACAGATACCAGTCCTGCACAATCTCTAGAGGGATTTTGAGTAGGGCTGGGTACCGAGTTCGGTACTTTTTAGGGTACCGACCGAATTGCCTCGGTACTACCGAGTATCGAAACATGTCTTGTCTTGTTTTTCGGTACCAAATTTTGGTACCTAAGTGGTTAATCTTGTCAACTTCAGTGAAACAATAAGCACGCAGCATGATTGGCTGTGGCGGAAAACACTAGTTTACATAGTTTTAAATATGTGGAAATGATCCAAAGTGTACCTATGTGCCAGACTCAATGCCAGAAGCACGCGATGCAATATTTTCGACAAGATAAGCGCACAGACACTTGAGAGTAGAAAGTTTATCCATTTTCGACTGCAAGAACTGGAGCGCCGCCCTCATTCGCCTATATTTAATTTAATTCACATTTATTTGTATAGCATTTTTCACAATACATATCGTTTCAAAGCTGTTTTGCAGAAAATGCAAATTTGTGATCTGTAATCAGAGGTGACGGTGTAATGCATTTCAATTAATTTTCATTCAGTTTCATTGTTAAACAATGCATTAAGACAAGGCAGAAACAATGAGCTCATTGAAGTAAGGAATACATGTTTAAATGATTAGGAAACATAGAAAACTTTAGCATTGGTGCTTTTTTACATACTCAAAATATGAGCGTGAAAAAGTCAACAAACTGAATTTGAATTTTGGTAATATTATATTGTTAAAACTGGTTACATAAAATTGGTATGAAAAAAAGGTATCGCTCAGGAACCGGTATCGAAGTCAAAGTATCGTTATCGATAAAGTATCGTTATTGATACCCAGCCCTAATTTTGAGCCATTCCTCTTCCAGAACAGTGGCCAGGTCCACCTCTTATGTGATGCTGGTGGAAGAAAACCTTTTCTGACTTGCTCCTCAAAAAGTGTTTTAATAATATTTAGATCTGGTTACTGTGCAGGCCATGGGTGATTTTCATCAAACAATTCTGTCTCAACTCTTGCTGAGTGTGTATTGGTGCCTCAAGTTGTTGATAGACGACACCCCCTTCAGGGTACAATGTTTGAACCATTGGGTGCACATGGTCCTCTAGAATAGTTGGGTAGTCCTTGGCAGTGTATCAGTCAATCAAGCCCAGTAGGGAACGCCATGATACTGCAGCCCAAACCATCACCGATGGTTTGAAGGTGGACTCATCAGAGAACAATCCATGCTTGCACAACAGTCGAGGTCTGCATTTAATTCAGCCTTGATTTTGTTTTGGATACAATCCGGGTTTGTACCTGGACATCCCTTTCAAACAGCTTCCTCTTGCGTCGACAGTTATTCCTATTGGAAGTGGTTCGTCCTTCGTGATGGCATGGCGACATTACCCTGGATAACACCACAAACACTTGCTGTCCTGGTCACAGATGAGCCAGCGAGATGCGAACCAATGTGTCCTCTTTTGAACTCTCATATATCTCTCATTATGTTGTGGATTGCAATATTTTATGTGCAGCTGTGCTATTCCTCTGCTAATTCAACCTTCACGCTCTACTGATAATATGTAAAATCAGTGAAAATTGGCCACCAAGCCACACATTTATAGCCTAGGCCGTTGAGAACAAGGCCGCCACATATTGAGCATCGCTAGAACTGACTTGACCTTCAATAGGGGACCAAATACTCCTTTCCTCAAGGAAACTGAAAACCTATGTTCTTTCTTTCCACAAAAAAAACCCCACTAAACATCCTACTCTCCATTCATACACTGAGTCATATTTTGACAATGATATTGTGTATGAAATATCAGTGAATTTTCTCACTGGTGGCTATTCTGAGGGAACATTGGGAGAATAAGTGATACTCCAGACTGTCTCAAGCTGAAATATCATTACAGAGAGTGACATACAGCTGTCTGTGTCTCTGCTTGCCGAATAAATTCAGTGCTCGACATGAAATGTTAAGAGATAAAATGACAAAGTAAAGGTTGGGAAGATCACTCACCACTTTGAGCTCTGGTACTGATCGACTCAATGTCCATTCCTGACTGTTGACGAAGGAATCTGGAAAAAAAAAAACAGATAGAAAACTTTAGTGAGTGATTATGTCATCCATTTCACTCAATAAACTGGACAGACATGCTTGTATGTTATAGCTTATACTATCGGGATGTTAACCGATGACCATTTGACCGATGGTTGACCGTAACCGATCAAAGTTGTCGGTAGAAAAAAAAAAAAAAAGAAGTGATCTCTAAATTAGGCTATTATAGACAGTGGACAAAACGCTACTACAGTCAGCCATCTCATTCCAAGAGATTATATCCAAGATATATTTCATAACTCGCCTGTTTGTAGGCTACTTAATAAACCAATAAAGACATTTGGCGCGAGGTCACAGCGTTTGGGTTGGCACGCTCACAAGGTTTGCGAAAAGGAAAGGCTACAGGCTAAAACACTCAAAGTTAGAGACAGAAAACAGCGTGCAAAGAAAAGTAGTGTGTGGGACCATTTCACCAAAAAGAATGACACCGGGGTAAGTTGCAACTTGTGTGATACAATGCTTAAATACAATAGTAGCACATCATCTATGATGTATCACCTGAAAACGCGACACCCGCAAGCCTCTTCGGGTGAGAAAGGTAACCAAAGCCAACCTAGCGTGTCATCTATGCTAGCTGGTAGGAAATGTGACAAACAGCGCTCAGAGACTATTATAGTGTGTGTGAGCGGGCGGCAGAGAGATCCAACAGAGTTGCGAAATTGCAGGCGCAGCTCGAAATGGCTGTTATTTCTAATAGCGTAGCATATAGATCCCGACCGATAAAGGATTTTGAAGGCCGATACCGATACAAATATTTTTGGGTTTTAAAATCCGATATTACGATATATATCAGCCGATATTTTTTTTATTTATTTATTTGAAACTGGACATGATAGTCACAAATTTTGTCATGCTTATTTGAGTTAAGTGAACTGAAGGGGATGTTCTTTTAATTGTTATTCAAGCAATGTATGTATCGTGACCAACTCAACGAGTGTTGCCAACAGGAGCGGTGTAGAGTGCCCTCTGGTGGACAAACTATACAACTCCAACACTCATGAGATGGTTCAAGCGTGTTTCATCCGTTTTTATTTTATTTTTGAAATATTAATTTATCGGCCATTATAACTGCCGATACCGCTAGTTTGGAAAATGCCTAATATCGGCCGATAATATCGGTCTGGCTCTAGTAGCATATTTTAAACTAATCGGCTAACCGGTTTCAACCAGCTAATGAGGCCCCAGCTAAAGAAAATTTTTAGTTTTAGCCATCCCTAGCTTCTTCACACACATCAATGTCTATCAACCAGGAATGATTGATGAATTCATCAATTCATCAACAAACAAAATTTTTTTTTGCATTTTTTTTTTACCTTATCGTAACAAAAACATTCTTTTTCAACAATGTGTAGATTATATATTTACAAAAGAGTGTTATAAAAGTAGTTTTTTTGAATATTGATAAGTGGCACTTAATAAATGGAAGAAATAAATTGAAGAAATCAGTGTCACTCCAGGTCCTACACAAAGCCTTCAAAAAGAGCACCAACTGTAAATTAAAAGTATGTCATCCACTCATGCAGAAGATCAGAGGCTAAGCTGCTACTAATAATCATGTTTGTCATATTGGCTACATGGCACAAGCCTCATTGGGTCAGCGAAATCCTGCTCATTTCTGTGCCACGAACTCTATCTGTTGTGCAGTGATTACATCATCACAGCGGGCACATGGGCAGCCCTGTTTAAAGCACCACAGAGGTTTGTGGCACGGCATTGTTTAGTTCATTTTTCACTCCGGTGCTCATGTCCAATCGAATCAAAATTTCTATTCAAAGCCTCTGAGGAACAGAAGAAACAAAAAACTCTTTGTAGATTCAGGGGACAGTGAGAAAAATAAAAAAAAAATCTATGCGTGGTACCAAAAGGAGTCTCATTTGTGTGATAGTGGAGAACATGGTGTGCTAAGTGTAACGCAAGGCAGGTCAGGGGGTGTTTCCGTCCGTCCTTCATTTAAACTTGATGTCTCACCCTCCCTTCGCACTCAACAAACTGCTGAAGTGACTCAGATGAGATTCTTCCTGCTGCGCTCAGCAACGTGCCCTGATGAAACCAGGCGTTTTCAACTTTCATCCTCGCTCTCACACACAGATACAAGGAAAAGTAGACCTACGCCAACATGCAAAGCAAACACATCTGAACATGACAACCACTCCCCACAATCCCACAGGACAGCATCTTGCCTTTTTTCCCAAAGATGTTGAGGTACCACAAGTCAAAACAATTCAAAGTAATTAGACTTGCACTGCACATGATCTAAACTCAATGAAGTATCAGGTAAATACTGCGGTATTTTGGAGCGACGGATGTGAATGTCAGTAAAACGAAACCCCATTGAGGTAAAAGGCATCAAACTGATGTTGCACTTCAGAATTTCAATTTGATGCTTTCCCTACTGAAGGGTGAACTGCAAGCGAAGCGCTTTTCATGTCATGTGGGAGCCGAAGCAAACTTTAGTGATATCCAGCTGAAGAAAATATGACTCAGAGTTTTAAGAGGGCAAGGTCATCACAAACACATGGGAGAACATTTAGAAATTGCTCTTAATGCTATTTCAAGCCTAGAGGAACCGAGATGCGTGCAAATCAATAGGCTTTTTAGAGCTTCTTTTGGAAAATGTAGAGCCTTTTAGTTAATTAGTGGTTAGAATGTATGTACGTCCCAAGATAGTGCACATTTAAAAAAGAAAGGGAGCCCTTTGTACCTTTATAACATACAGTAATGGATTCTCTCAAGCTACCTGTGATGCAATTTTCTAGCTTTGCACCATCTGAAGAGATCTCAATCCATTTTTCTAACCTGCTGTTGAAACCCAGCCTTCACGACCCGAAGGCCGTGAGGAGAGTCCTGTAAAGAGAGTCTGGCACTTTGTATTTTAAGCCTGGAAGGCTTTACCTTCCCTCACCTGCATAACTCACAGCTACAGAAAACAGTCAAGACCCAGGAACGACCTGCTTGTCAAACTACCAGGGCATGTAGCGACAGGTACACGTAATCTGCACACCTTTGGTCCAAAAAAAGCTCTCAAGTTCAGTAAACACACCTACATTCCGGCTGTCAGTCAACTTTTGCAAAGAAAGGTCATTCGGTGAGTTTGGAAAGGATAGTTTCCTTAGTAACCAATGAATATAAACTCAAGCAGATGCCTAGGGTGTAAACGGCCCAAAATTTGTTATCTCCATTTGAGGAGTGACTAATGGTACAAGCCCTGTAAGTCATTTGTGAGAGCTTGTTGTGCTAAGGCAATCTTTCCCAGATACACTTAAGAAGGTAATGTGAGTCGATTGTTACGATAAATTCAAGCCCACTGATTGGATGATGGCCAATTAAAGGGCCGTGCCACTGTTTCTGTCGACGAAACATTACATTAAATAAATCTAACATAAAAAATAAAGCATTAGAACAACCATATCTTAAAAAAACTAATTAGCATGCCCAACCCTGATGCTTCTGATCTGGTCTTCCAAGTGAAAGCAAATGGTTACAGTAAATAAATACAATGCTAAAAAGGACAGAATTTAGGCAAACGGATTGGTCAAGACCATAAATTAGCTTGTTCATCATAAAATTAGTCTATGCATCTTAATATTAAATGCAAATTAATGGGATCTGGATTGAAAGCTCTTCTTATATTAAGAGAATGATATAGATGCGCAACTGAAATAAAAACCTTGAATTGTCATAATCTCAGTGTCACTGGTTCCTTCCATCTTTAATGGGAACATGTTATTATTAAATGAGTCCAATTACATTGATGAATCAACAAAGCTGAACAAAAGTCTCAAAACTCAGAATATTATATAATTGTGTGTGTGCACAGACAGCTAGATAGAAAAATTTTATTTTTTGAGCATTTTGTTAATGCATTTTGATAATGTTACTCCATTACAATGAATTCAATCTGCTGTCTCTTTCTCTCTTTTATTCAGATTTCCATTCCTTTATTTTTTAATATTCTGGTGAAATTTGTGCTGAAATGAAAGGTTTTATGACACTTTAAGCCTGTCAACAACATATTAAATGCTCAAAACATCTCAAGGTGTACTCCCAATAACATCATCTTCCATCTTGAAACATGTTATCATAATTCAAACATAAGGCCCTATTTCAACAGATGTGCTAGCATCTCTCCACTGGCATTTCAGTCATCTTGCATATGCAGAGGCTTCCTTCAATTTATAAATTGAAACCCTGAAGCTTTAAAGGCTAAAGATTTCGCACTGCAAATGTAAGCTAGACTTCACAGATTGAAGACAAAAGCCAAAAGTAATTTCTGTTTACCTTATGCAATGCTGCACAAATACTTCTGATGAAAATGCTATAGGCAAAACTAATCAATTTTTAAATCATCTAAATAAGGATTACAAAGGAGCTGAGGTGACATAAGGTTAAGAGCCCAGGCCTGTATACATCATCTTGAAAAGCTCTCAGTAACCTAATCCCTTTTCAGAAATCACAGTGTAAAGCTCTGCAACTACACTATTTGCTTTGACTACCTTTGAGACGGTACATGAGCTGCAAGCAAAAGAACGAGCAGACGGAATGAAAACATGTTTAAAATATCATAAGGACTGTTGTCTACATGCTGGGTTATGATTTAACCTTCAGAGCTTTTAAAAGCAAAAACAAACCACAAAAAAACCCAAACTCCCATCCAATGAAAACGTGATCGTTCCGTATTACTTAGGAGGGATCTGATAGTAAAACTGCGCCATTAATTCCCTTTCTTTATTCGTCTACGTCATCCATCCTTGACTTATTCCTGCAGTCTATTTGATTACCTTGAAAGCATTAATGATTAAACAAGATTTTGATGGATGCTTTTTTTTTTTGCTTCCTAATTCAATTGCAGTGCAGACATACACTAGAAGAAAACTCCTCTTGGAGCCAATTAACAGCTCAAGCACACACACAGACACTCCAACAGAGCCAAAGCCTTCTGAGTGAATAATGCATTTAACCTCTTATTATGCCTGTTGGTGCTGCTCAAGCCAGACCTTCAATATCATTTTAATATTTAATCAATTTGCCCTGCTCTCTAAGGCTACATCCAGCACTCAAAGACTGTCCTCTTCAGACAAAAAAGCATTTTCCTACACAGACTGGCATGTGGAATGAAATTATGCATTTTACACTACTTACCTTGACCTTTCCGGAACCCACTGCCAGCTAGAGTCTCTATAGCAACAGAATCTGGCTTTTTATTTCTCACCGGGGGATGGCTGCCAACTGCTTGGCTTTCAGTGCACAGCTCAGATTTGTTGCTGGACAACGGGTCCTTCCTCTTAAAACGATTAGCAATCAGCTGCCAAAAACTAGTTTCTGTTTGCAACTGTTTGGTGGGCTTGGTTAGTTTGGCAGGACGGAGAGGGATCTCCAAGACTGCTACCTTGCCGCGAGTTTGGTACTGTATGTACTGTGTGGCCCCTTGGTCTTCGTCTTGCTCGCAAGCTGGTGTTAACGTCCTGCCCGTGAGGTAGGAGAACGGACGAGTGGTTTGCATCGATTTTTCTCCGATACTTGCAGTGCGTCTCCATTCAGTTCGGTCATCCTGCTCAAGTTGATTACGATTCCGCCTCATCCTGAGACTCAAACTCCTCCGTAGTGATCCGAACGTTCTCTTTTGTCCGTCCTTCTTGTTGGGTTCATTTAGCCTTGTTGACGTTTGTGGCACTACGACTTCCTTGCCTGTTGCCTGTCGACCAAACCATCTCCATCGGAAGCCCGGGCGAGGCAAACTACCGGTGCCAGTAGAAACGTGGCTTGCGAGCTCCTCCCGGGATCCAGTTCGCTCTTTATTAAGCTCAAGCACGGTCATGCTAACGGGCCGTGGTTTGCTTCTGCTTTTAGAAGTCCGACGGATTGGTGGTTCTTCTAGTCTATGAGGAAGTAGGCTGACAGACGGCGGCATGTCTGCTTTCAGACCGTCTATGGCACGAAGCTCGGCACGTCTTGTCTGACACCGGTGGACCACATCTGGGCAACCTTGCTCATTGGGGGTAGAGGAAGGGAGAAGAAAGTTTGTTGCTGTCAACATGCAAACACTGCGGGGTCTTGTAGAGCTATCTTGGTTGACCTTTGTTGTGGTTTGGAGTCTCCTTTCGTCATCTGGGAAGACAAACATGCTCACTACTCTTCTGCTGCCCAGGAGCCGAAGCCCATGTGCAGGCCTTCGTAAGACCGCCACATGAGTTTCTGATGCATTCTCCACAGATATAGCATTAAAATTTAGTTCCTCAATGGGAATGTGGCAAACATCAGCAGAGACTTCTTTGGTCCAAGCTTTCTTTCCCACAGCCAAATCGAAGTCTTCCGCAGAGGCTTGCTGCACACAGCTGTCCTGGAAGAAAGAAGGTAACCGGTCCGTCCTCATTCCTAGTCCTTCCCCTTTCCTCCACCCCCCATTCCCTGTGCTGCTCAGGTAAAACCACCTATTGAGCTTTCCAGCTGCACTCCTCCTCTGCCCTGGGCTCTCTCGGCGTTCCTCCCTCTGATCCGCCTCTTGTCTTTCGTTGTGGTCCTCTCCCACGTTGTTCTTAACAACTCCCAGCTCAGCTTCTACCCTCCTCTCAGACCCTCCTGAAGGCGTACGAGTCTGCAGCTCCTCCTGGAGTCCCATTCTGGAAAACAACAACTTCGTATAGAGTTTTACCACCTTGGTCTTGGTGAGGAGATGTGATCTTTCTTTTAGAAATCACATTTCATATTCCAGACACACCTCCACAAGCTTGTTCTCGGCAACTCTCTCTAACACTGCCGCACTCTGAGTCTTTCACCTCCAGGCCACATTCCAAAAGCAAGAATAATCCCTCACCTTTGACTTGTGAGAGACGGAGACAGAGTTAAGGGGGGAAAAACTTCAAACAAGCCTGAGCATGACCTCACTGAAACTTTTACCTAGCAGGGGATTATTGGGGGGGGGGACTCGCTATGAAAAAACAAACCTGTGCGCATTGGAGGGATAAATACGGTCACAGATTAAGGAGTCTTTGGTCTTCTCCTACTGTCAAAAACAGGTCTGTGCAACCCTGCAGTCAACAGTGAAGGCAAATTCCTTAATGTTCCGGTTCTTGGCATGAGTAAGAGGGGTCTGTTTGAACTTCAAGCTGCTCCCACATGTCCCAAGGATAACTGCAAACCAAGGAGCAGAATAGTTTGTCTCCTTAATGCGAAGGCACCTGTAGAGAAATCCCCGCGGGAGATACTGCTGTGACTGAAGATTAAAAACGGAGGGTGTCTGATGCTTGGGGTAGCGAGTATCTTCAGCACAGTTACCAACATTTGTACCATCCTGAAAAGCATCCAAATTAAAGGGCATTTTGTAGAGCTTCCCTTTCTTTGAGCCTCCCTAAATCATTCTCTCTCTAGTTCCCACATTCCCACCCTCCCTTCCTAAACTGCCCTCCCTCACAACTGCATTTCCTCATCCAACTGAACAAAGCAGAAATTGGCAAACAAAACTGGGGAGCTCATTGCATGGGGGGAGGATGAAATGCCAAACAATTCCCCAGTTTTCTCATGCATGTCTTCGCCTATGTTAAAGTAATGACGAGTAAAGTTTTCATACCACCTATGCCAACTCTAGGAGCATTGAATAAGCATTATGGGAAAGAATGTGCAATGAAAATAAAATGATTTCGCAGAAACACATGCAAAAGCTGCCTCCACAATCCAAATCCAAATACAACAGGTCAAAGTATTTACCCCATAAACAAATTTTAGCTTTGCTACTAAGATTGCTTCCTAGGATTCTGTGTAACATTATTGGTTCCTAACATGGTAGCTCTGACTGGCCATCGGTCATACTAGAAAAAGCCATCTGGATTAGAAAAACAAGGGAGCAGATTTGAGATTTTGCGCTTGTAAAGAGCACCCACAAGTGGTTTCAATGAAAACTACCCCACCAGTCTAGTTATACTACACTGCCATGGAGATTTTTTTTAGAATGATCCAGAGACTCGCTTAATGACACTCCTGCTGCGCAAAGGAATTTATGAGAAGTAATATTTTAGTCGGACTATGGTAAACTTACAGCAAAAAAATGCGCAATAAAATGCATCAATTTTGTCTAAGAACAGCATATACATTACATAATCATTTATGAAAATATCAGCCACAAATTTATTGAAACAGACTTTTAAAAGATGCAAAATAATACAGCAGCACTCCTTCCCGTTTCCCCTTCATCTTTCCCACTTTTATTATTTTCCTTCTAAAGGTCTATCCTTCCTTCCAATATTTATTTGTGTCTCTTTCTTGCCTTCCTTCTTTCCATGTTTCTTTCTTTCTCTCCCTCTTTACATTCATTTGCCTATTTCTTATTTTCCAATTTTCTTCTTTACTTCTTTCCATCCCTTCTTTATTTCTATCCTTACTTACCTTTTAAATTCTTTCCATCTTTATCTTTTCCTCTATTTCCTTCCCTTCGTTCCTTCTTTCTCTCCTCGCTTTATCATGTCTAATTCCTTTTTCACTCAATTATTTCCTGTCATTCTCTCTCTCTTCATCATCACTGAGATGACCATCAAATTATCCAGACAATAAGTACTTTAATTCAGTTTACTCCTTTATGAACTCATGTCTGAAATCTTACAAGTCCCTTGACCATAAGCCCTTTTATTTTGAGCTTCCACGCACTCAGAGTAAAATCTTTGACAGATTTCCAATTTGTATAACCTAATATTTAAATTACATGGACATATCCGAGAACACAGTTGCTTAGAGTTTAAAGGGACAGTTCACCCAAAAATTAAATGTCATTACTCACCCTCATGTCGTCTTTCGTTCATCTTCAGAACGCAAATGGATATCTTTTTCTAAACCTGAGAGCTTTCTGTCCCTCCATTGACAGCTACGCAACTACCACTTTGATGCAGTTCATAAAGAGATTGTGAAGCTAATCCATATGAATTGAGAGGTTTATTCCAAAGTTTCTGAAGAGACTTGATTGCTTTATATGATGAACATATTTAATTTAGGCTTTTACTCACGTCACATATAAACATTGATCAGTGAACATAAACAGAAGCTCAACCAAACATGAATGTCTCGCAAGAACAAACCTCTTCCGGAAGCTCAAATGTCCTGTGTAACAAGTACGTAAGTTACAAGAATGAATCCTATTGGTTACGCAACATGTGTTCGGTTCTTGTACAAGCTGAACAGAAAGCTCTCAGATTTCATCAAAAAGATCTTCATTTGTGTTCTGAAGAAGAATGAAAGTCTTATGGGTTTGGATCGAAATGAGGATGAGTAATTAATGACCGAATTTCATTTTTGGGTGAACTGTCCATTTAACTTTAAAGTCATATTTAGCCAACACAATGTTTCCATTGCAAGATGTATGTCCTATACTCTTATCATCAACTCTCAAGCTAAAAACATACCTCATGCTATAGTTCTGATATATAGTTCTGATATACGTATGTCACTGATGACTCGTTTTTCATTCACCACAAAAATAGTTACACATAACTAGGTTTATCATACAGTATGTGAAGCACCTTCATTTTTACAGCCTTCACCGCTGATAGATTATGTGAAAATTTTAAATAAACAGCAAAACAACAAGTACAAAGAAAGTTAAATATAAATGCTATTATACAACACGTGGACACAGACGTGAATATTTGATATTCACAATTGCCCCTTTTCAACACTATCTAAAATAAAATGCATCAGACCACAGATGACCTCAGTATTTTAAAAATACACTATTCACTATACAGTTCAGCTATTTAATTATCAAAAGACATTTGTAAAGCAAGCACTAGAAAAGCCAGAAAACAACTGAGCATAAATCAGTACCTGTGTTGATAAGATGGAAGCTAACACGGTAATTCGCCTTTGAGGGAGTATTTATTACCTGCGTCGACAGCGAAAGGGTTCGTCACCCCCGTAACATCCACTGAGATCAAACAGTCCTCGTCGCCCCACTGCACATGGTTGTCTCTCGGCCGTCTTTTCCCTCCAAAACACATCATGATGAGGACTTCTCCAAACTACAGGAAAATCCTTTCACCGGTGACATTATCAGGCCAAAAACAAACTAAAACCATTTTCAGGGTCCTATATTTCCATTAAGACTGGTCTTCAGTTCAGACGAGACGGTGATGATGTTCTAATTCTGCTTTCGTCATGCTGAGATCATGAGCTTGGCTTTGTCAAATATCAAAAATGTCCCGGCGAGAGGGATGAGCAGACAGGTTCAGGAAACATGTCGAAACTTTGTAATCCGTCATGAGAAGGAGGAGGGGACCACGGCCTCCCTGTCTTACCTGAATCTGAAGTAGGATTAGTCTAATCCTTAACCAATAGTCATTGGTGCATTATCTGTACCGAACACGCACACACAGAAATGCTACCGTGTCCAATTCTGTTTGAGTAAAGTACGGTCGTCCCTTTAAAAACTTGTTTAACTCCTCTTGGAATCTGTGCAACGCTCTGACGCAAGACGCCCCACTGATATTTCAAGTCCAACCACTGGCTGTCTGTGATGAAACTTGTCTGATTTAAAGTCAGATTAAACAAACAATAGAAATAAGACAAAAATATGAATCCAAAGATCATAGCTAGGCATCAAAACTAGACTGTCCACTTTATAAACTGTTACCAAAAGTTAAACAAGTTGAGTCATTACAGAAACGCACAGGGTTGCCCGACATTTTCGGACGAAACCACACATGCGTTTACAAACTATTTCCAACTAATGAAATGCATTTAATTGACGAGATCCCATAGAAACGGGAGCGCATAAAGACCATATCGACTCAACATCTCATTACGGTTTTCATTAAAAACCACCGCGCCATCGGCGAGGATAAATGAATACAAATACTGATGGATGAGAGAAAAAACACATTTTGCCCTTCAGAGGTGGTGTAGCAAAGACAGAGCATTAGATATGCCTTTCATTTCTAGCGATTTAATTATGCAGACCATCAGAAAGTACGTTTCCGAATGCTTTTTTCAGCCTCAGGGCGCACCTTTATTACGGCGAACCCTTTGGAAATTGGCCTGCCAGTCTAATTAAAACAGAAAAACTAATTACGGTAAGACAATTAGACCTCTCGTCTTTTATTTTAAACACTTCTAATAGAGCAAGAAAGTGACGCAAGCAGCATGCCAATCCCTTTTGCCTTTTTTATGAAGATGCAGATGTTGCTTCAGGATATTACAGAATTCAGTGAACATCTTCGGATCTGGAATTGTTTACACAAACATTCAGTAACACTGAGGAACATCTAGTAAAAGGAGAATTGTTACGGAAATACTGTAGTGTTATTAAAGAACATTTCTAGCAGCTGAGTGATATCGCCAAATTCACAATATTTAGTTCATCAATCAGTTCATGTCTGTAAATCATTTCTAAGGTGTCCATTTAATTAAATCAGTCCAGTTTTACTCTGAATCAATCTTGTCTTTTTCACACATTAAATGTTTTTTTTAAATAAAAATGCAAGGCTGCATTTATTTGATCAAAAATACAGTAAAAAAACAGTAATATCGTGAAATATTATTAAAATGTAAAAACCTGAAACCAGCTAATATTTTTGTGGAAACTGACATTTTTTTCAGGATTCTTTATTAAACAGCAAGTTCAAAGACATTTTACTGTCACTTTTGATCAATTTA